CATCCGCATTTTCCAGATGAGGAATCTGAAGCACAGAAAGGCTAAGTAACTTGCCCAAGTAATTTGCTAGTTCACCGCAGAGCTGGAAACGGAACAAGGAGTCTGGCTTCCCGATCCATAAATCCCCATAAGTTTTACAGGTTCTCAAGCTGAAGGGTTCAAAGAACATCAAAGTAGGCTTTGTGCGAAATCTTGGGAATAGGAATGCCACGGCTGCACACTGCGTGGGTCTACAAAACAAAAGGGAGGAGGGTAGGGCCCTGACGCTGGGAGCTCGGCCCGACACTGAACGGCCGCTTCTTTCCCAGTCCCACCACTAGAGGGCGCGGGTAACTTAAACTCGCCAGGACGTCCCTCCCTCCCGCCCCTAGTTACCTTTCACCCAATCATCAAATATTTACCCAAAGCGCCGCTCAAAGGGAATGTAAAAAGTTGCCCAATCCAGTCTCCATGCAAGACTATAACAACAAAAAACCCAGGACTGACCTCTGTCTTCTTAATATCCTCAGCGAAGAAAGAAACCTCCCACTACCTGACTAATTTGTCTCATTCCTAAACCACTGAATACTAAGTTCCTCCTTAAATCTCTTACTCTTCCTGGCATAAACTAGATTTTTTTTTCTTAAACTAGATTCTTTCGCTCTACCCCTAATGGAAACAAGGAGCAACCGTTTGGCATCCTCATGGCAACCACTCTTCAAAGATGCTTTTAAATTACGAGGTATACAGCTATGAGGTCAAACCTCCTTCTTACTTCTCTCAAAGATACAATAGTACTCGGCTACATTTCACCTACCTAGCAATTTACAGGTTTCTTTGGTCTGTCTTCAATTTCTCTATGTCTCTCTTTTGTAAAGATTTATTTATTTATTTGACAGAGAGAGAAAGGAGGGGCAGAGGGGGAGGGAGAGAAGCAGACACCCCAATCAGCACAGAGCCAAAGCCAGGCTGGATCTCATGACCGTAAGATCATGACCTGAACCAAAATCAAGAGTTGGCTGCTTAAGCGACTGAGCCACCCAGGCGCCCCTCTCTAGGTCCATTTTAAAGTGTGAAGTTCAAAAGTGAACTCTGCACTCCAGTATTCTATCCAGGGCCAGATTTACTCCTGATTGATTCTTGAATATTACCCTGTTATTATACTCAAACCATATGCAATCATTCAATAAAATAATTCATCCTTATCAACACGATGAAGGATTATATAGTCATTAAAATAACAAAGACAATGACATAGCAATATAGAATATACTTAATATTTTGTTTAAAAATGCATGCAACACTGCACTGGTTTGGGGGATTGTTGTTTTTCATTACTGGTATAATTTTGAGGTCTTTTTTTTTTTTAAAGATTTTATTTATTTATTTGACAGAGAGAGACACAGGGAGAGCAGGAACACAAGCAGGGGGAGTGGTAGAGGGAGAAGCAGGCTCTCCGTCGAGCAGGGAGGGGCTCGATCCCAGGACCCTGGGATCACGACCTGAGCCGAAGGCAGATGCTTAATGACTGAGCCACCCAGGCGCCCCAATTTTGAGGTCTTTAAAAAACTGATTAAAATCTTTTATTCACTCAGCAACTTATGGATTGCTCATTATGTGTAAGACCAAGAACAAGGTGTTGCAAGGAAGATAAAAGCAGACACAGATCCTGCTGTTCAGAATAATAGTAGCTGACTCATAAAATGCTTACTATGTCCTCGCTACTATGGTCATCCCTATTGTATAGCTTAAGAAAATATGGAACAGGGAGGTCAACTAGTTTACCAAGGTCACACAGAATAAAAGCAGAAGCAGAATTTGAATCCAGCCACTCCAGATGTGCAAGATGTTGGGCTTAACCATCATACTACACTGCCTCTCATCATAGCCTAATAAGATAGGGATAAATGACATTCAATCATTCATCAAGGGGTGCCTGGGTGGCTCAGTCGTTAAGCATCTGCCTTCGGCTCAGGTCATGATCCCAGGGTCCTGGGATCGAGCCCCACATCGGGCTCCCTGCTCAGTGGGAAGCCTGCTTCTCCCTCTCCCACTCCCCCTGCTTGTGTTCCCTCTCTCGCTCTCTCTCTCTGTCAAATAAATAAATAAAATCTTTAAAAAAAAATCATTCATCAAATATTTATTGAGCAGCTACTACATGTCAAGTACCAAACTAGTGCTGGGAATATACTGATGAGCAAGATAAGCACAGTCCCTGCCCTCATGGACCCACAGTCTACGTAGAAAGCATTACAGCAGTTCAGCAGAGAAAGAGTACCCATCTTTGAGGCTAGGGGAAAGAACCACCTCCTTACACTCTCTGTTCCATTCCTCCTCAACCTTGTGGAGAGAAAAGGGGATAGGAGAAGGGGAAACACAAAGTCTCAAGAGAAAAGTGATGAGAGGTGGCATCTATTCTTCCAGCAAGCATTTGGGATTCAAAAACAAGGACAGAGTCAGGCCTGGATAGACCTTTAAGGTTCCTGCCAACCTGAGACTAGTTTCTGTTCACCTTTTACTCAAGTAATCCTCAATAAAATAGTGCCAAGCACTGAGCTAAACTCTGAAAATTCACCTGTGAATAAGCCAAGGCCCCTGCCCTCCATCAGTTTATAGTCTAATGGCACAGAGAGACAAGAAATTCCAGTACCCTGTACTAAAGCCAGTGATAAGAAGCAGCACAGAATGAGATGGGCACTATGCGGGCTGGGACCAGACAGCAAGAAAGTGACATCTATACTGAGCAGTGACACAGAACAAACTGGAGTTAAAAAGGGGACAGGGTAGGGGCGCCTCGGTGCCTCAGTTAAGCATCTGCCTTTGGATCAGGCTATGATCCTGGGACCCTGGGATCCAGCCTCGCATGGGGCTCCCTGCTCGCTGGGGAGCCTGCTTCTCCCTCTCCCTCCCACTGCTTGTATGTGTGTGCACGCGCGCACTCCCTCCCTCTCTCTGCCAAATAAATAAATTCTTTTTTTTTTTTAAAGATTTTATTTATTTATTTATTTGAGAGAGAGAGAATGAGAGAGAGCACATGAGAGGGGGAGGGTCAGAGGGAGAAGCAGACTCCCTGCGAAGCAGGGAGCCCGATGCGGGACTCGATCCAGGGACTCCAGGATCATGACCTGAGCCGAAGGCAGTCGCTTAACCAACTGAGCCACCCAGGCACCCAAATAAATAAATTCTTTAAAAAAAAAGAGAAAAATAAAATTTTTTAAAAAGGGGGAACAGGTGGGGTGCCTGGGTGGCTCAGTTGTTAAGCATCTGCCCTCGGCTCAGGTCATGATCCCGTGGTCCTGGGATTGAGCCCCGCATCGGGCTCCCTGCCCCTTGGGGAGCCTGCTTCTCCCTCTCCCACTCCCCTTGCTTGTGTTCCCTCTCTAGCTGGCGCTCTCTCTGTCAAATAAATAAATAAAATCTTTTAAAAAATTAAAAAGGGGGGGACAGGGTGAGGAGTGTGATTCAGGCTTGAGGGAACAATTTATGCAAATGAGAGAGAACCTGGGACTGAGAACCATTCAGTGGTTTATAGAGTTGTGCCAAATAATGCCCCTAATTTGCTAAAATCCTTCATCGCTCATTTCCAAATTCAGGAAGGGATGTGAGTATGGACACAACCTTGGGCCAAATTCAAACAAACTCTTTACTTGATAACCACAGAGCTCCAATCTAAATTAGGCTATCTGAGCCCACCATCAACACTTCATTGCAGGTGTTCATATGCCTCTCTTGCCATTCAATCAGTCTATCAGCAAGGCCAGTGCTAGATTCCAGAAGAATAACAGGGCTCCAGTTGGCTCCCCAGGGGAGTAGTGGAGGCAGTGTCTTCCATATCTCTGAATCCCACACCGAATCCAGCTCAGTGCTTTGGGAGCACAGAGGTACCATTGTTCTATATTCTACTAAACATAGAACAAAAAGAAAAATTCATCTGATGGCGTAATTACTATCTCGACCCACATCCTCCGCATTGCCCATCCTTACCCCCAACCCCTCCAGTGCGGCACATCAGGGCACTCCTCCTCCCTCTTTAGACTCTGCCACTTTCAAATGCCAAGGAGCTCCACGCAGATAAAAGTATAGCTTTGTGGATAAAAGCAGAAGCTTCAGATTCAGAATAATCTAGGTGGGATCCTTTTATTCGCTTTCTGATACAGAGCAAGTCACTCAAGCTGTGGCAGCCTCAGATTCCTCTGTATCTAAAATGAGAATAATAACAGCTCTTTCACTGGGATCTGTTGAGTGAACGTAACCGGGCTAAGAATAGTAAACGAGACGTCTATGTAAGGATATTATCACGTTGCTTGGTATATAAAATGCACTGAATAAATAGTAGCTGTAGTAGAATGTTGCAGATGATGTCTAGAGGTAGACTAGAGGTAGAAGTGGATGATGCCAGTTAAGTCACTGGCTAGAGTCACAGCAACCCCCACCAGCCCAGACAGCTTCCAGCGACAGGCTTACAACAGGACGCATGAAAGAGATCCTCGGTCCCTTGAGACTCCTTCCACGCCCAGACCTCTGCAGCGATCGGCAACTTGCGTCACCAGCTCAGCCCGCCGCCTCCTCTCAGGCCGATCGACACATGGTGGGAACGTGAGGGGGCGGGGCCAGACTCTGCGTCGCTGGGCCAATCGCCCGGCGGGAGGCGCCCAGCCAATGGCAGAGGCGCTCCAGGGCCTCGGGGGTGGGGCCACAGAGAGGAACGGCGGCGTCGTAGGTCACTGGGCGGACCAGGGGCGGGGCCCGCGGGGCCGACGGGGGCGGAGCGGCGGAGGCCTGAGCCCTCGGAGAGGTGATGGCGGCGGCTGTGGTCACGGCGGTAGCGGCGGCCCAGGCCTCGGCAGCCGGAGTGGATGGCGCCTCCTCGGTGCACTGGTTCCGCAAAGGGCTGCGGCTCCACGACAACCCTGCGCTGCTGGCGGCCGTGCGCGGGGCGCGCTGCGTACGCTGCGTTTACATCCTGGACCCTTGGTTCGCGGCCTCCTCCTCAGTGGGGATCAACCGATGGAGGTAAGGGGGCTCCAGAGCGGGGTCGTGGGCCCGGGGGAAGCGGCCTGGCCTCGAGCGCGCCCGGCGAACAGCCCGGGTCGCCCCCGCCCTACAGAGAGGGAGGCTCTGCCCCCCAGGCCCCACGGCCGAAAGACCCCGGCCTGAGGGAGGTGGGACAGCGAGACGGAGCCGGGCCTCCAGAGGGGAGAAGCCGGGACGAGGGAAGCAATTAGTCATCTTAGTAATGGCCTGGGTGGGCCAGGGCTGGACCTCTGACAGCGCGTTCGCACTGTGTATTAGCCCCTTGGGGGCCTCACAGCATTCCTGTGGGACGGAGATCTTATTCCCCATTGTGCAGGTGGAACTCCTGAGGCCTAGAGACGCAGAGCTGGCCTGCCCAAGGACTTGAAGCCAGGGAGTGGCAGAGCAGGGACTCCTGGTCCTGGTCCAGGGCTCTTAGGGGTGTGCTCAGGGAGGGGAAGAAAGGAGATACTGGGATGTGAGGGCAGGGACGCGTTTCTGGGTTTCCCAGTCGGTAGCACGGCAGGTGCTTCTGGCATTCTTCAAGAAAAGAGCCTATTGCTGGGCTCCAGAAGGTCATCGCTAAGCTTCTGGTTTGTTTGAATCCATCCCTTCAGCCATCCTGGTTTCCCTCCACCAAGACCTTCCTGCTTCTGGAGGTGCCTAGAGACCCTGGCTTAGCATTAGATAAGGCAGGTGTCGTCTCCCTTTTATTATGAAGACCCCAAGAGCTTGTCCAGTTAGAGGCACTTTGTGTCCTGAGCTAGAAAGTAGTACTTAAACCCATTTTGAAGAATTCCCTCAACTGCTAGCTTGAGGTTGAGCTTGCTAGGAAAAAAAAGAGAGAGAGGGAGGGAGGGAAGGAAAGAAGGAGAGAGAGAGAGAGAAAGAAAGAAAGAGGGACCAAAATATCACTTCCTTCCTTCTCTTCTCATGAGATTGATTTTAAGGGACAGTTGAACCACTATAGATTAGACTTTTATCAACTGATATGCTGAAGTTAGCGAGCAGGATAGCTGTGATATCAAGGAGATCCTTCTTTGATGATTCCCAGGAAATGCAGTCGACAGAATCATGGGAAAGGATTAACAGGTAGGTAGCTGATGTCTTTTCTCTGTAATCAGTGTTTAAAACCAAGGAGTGGGGCGCCTGGGTGGCTCAGCCGTTAAGCGTCTGCCTTCAGCTCAGGTCATGATCCCAGGGTCCTGGGATCGAGCCCCACATCAGGCTCCCTGCTCAGCAGAAAGCCTGCTTCTCCCTCTCCCACTCCCCCTGCTTGTGTTCCCTCTCTTGCTGTGTCTCTCTCTGTCACATAAATAAATAAAATCTTTAAAAAATTAAAAAATAAAAAAAAATAAAACCAAGGAGTTTTGAAACATCCTGTACCCTTCTCTCTTTAAAACACCCCACAGCTGTCCTTTGACTTGTTTGCATTGTTCTGGGGGATGTTTGCCTGTGGCCATGTTGCATTGATGGGCAGTGTTATTCCCAGGCTACGGTGGCTTTCAGTACACCATTCTTTTCCTCCCCGAGGTGTGTGCCCTGCTAGGAGAGTGAGTAGCCCAAGCAGTGGGTCTATTAAATGCCCCCTCCTGCCCCATTTATATAGAGAGAACAACTAAAGATAGTCCTGTGGAGAGCCTGCCCACACAGTTTTCAGGGTGCTCTATTGCTCTGCCTCTGCTCCAGTTTCTATAGATAGGAGGTTGGGTTTGACAAACATCTTCAAATGGCCATCCCTGGCATGGGCATTAAACCAAGCCTCAGACTTTGCCCTCTGTTCATGGCAGTGTGCCAATTAGAGCAGAGTAAATAAATCTGACTACTACTTGCTTGTTACGTTGTCATGAAAGAGGTTTTATTTTACCGGGGTTGGGGGGACATTGCATAGGACTGTCTACTCGTTTGTGGTAGTGGAGATTAAAAATCAGCAAAACCTCTGTTGCTTATTAAACTCAGATTTGCTAGGATCTAGGTGTTTCTGGATTTTTGTGGGTCACTCTTTTGTGACAGTGCTTTTGAGCAAGTGAAGGAGAAAAGGAATGTGGCAGCTCAGATGCCTTAGTCAAATCCTGAAGTCAGAGGCCATGTAGGAATGTAGATATTAATTGAACAATGATTTTAATGAGTGCCTAGTATCTGCCAGGCACTGATCTGGGTGTTGCTAGGGACACAGCAGTGAACAAGCAGTTGTGTCCAGAGCTCCTGGAGCCTACATTTTAGTGGAGGGAGACAAGTAAACAACCATAATTTAGTAGAACTGAGTGCCATGAAATAAATAAAATAGGGGGACGGACTAGAGCGGCATCAGTCTTGCTGCACATGGGAACCACTAAAGGATCTTTAAAAGATGCTTGGACTCTGTCCTCCTCCAATTCTGATTTAATGGTTCTAGGTTATGGCCTGGGCATTAGAATTTTCAAAGCTCTCATGTGCAGTGAAGCCTGAGAAGCACTGGACTGGAGAACCCCAGACTTGAGCCTGACATCTTGGGAAATGTGTTGCAGTGCTTTGTCAGGGAGGCTAATTAGCTTTGGCATTCAGAAGAAAGAGGTGAGGGGTGCCTGGGTGGCTCAGTCGTTAAGCGTCTGCCTTCGGCTCGGTCATGATCCCAGGATCCTGGGATCGAGCCCCGCATCTGGGTCCCTGCTCCGTGGGAAGCCTGCTTCTCCCTCTCCCACTCTGCCTGCTTCTGTTCCCTCTCTCGCTGTGTCTCTCTCTGTCAAATAAATAAATAAAATCTTAAAAAAGAAGAAGAAGAAGAAGAAAGAGGTGAAAAAACACAAAACAGATGGAATATGATAACTGCTCCTGGGCCTGGAAGCAGATATGCCACTTGCCACCCCCACCATACTCTTTGCTCCCGTGATCAGATCCAGAGCAGAGCTGCAGACTGTTTTACACACTCAGTTGGGGGTTGGGGCAGTGATGGAGCCAGCTGTACCTCTGCATAATTACGGTCTGTGTAATCTTCCGGTGGCTGTTTCTAGATCTGGGAGTGATCTGGGACTACTGTGCTGCAGCATAACATCCTAGCTCTGCAGATACTTCAGTTGCTGCCTCTGAGAAGCCTCCCTAGAAAGGGTGGGCCGTGGGCCATCTGCAAGAGGTGGGGGGAATCAAGATCTCAGATGTTTATTCTCCTCCTGCACGTCTTACACTAACTGCTGCACTGCATTTTTCAGCAGATGAATCAGATTAAAATAACCATAAATGGCACTTTCTAAGAGTCAAAGAGGACAGAGAAAGGCAACCAAGAAGTATGTATATTAGCGGAGCAGAAAGGCTGGCATACTCCTTGCCTTGGTGGTAGTGGGAAGCTGATGGGCTAATTGTAGCTCAGTGAGCCTCAGGACGTTTTTTGTCAAGCACTAGTTGGCTAAGCCCTTTGCCATTTTTCCCAGCCCCACCTTGCCCAGATATGCTGCATGTGGAGGGAGGTACTGCAGTGAGAACCACCCGAGAAAGGGGGAGTGATCAGCTTCTAGATTTAAAAATGGGTACTCAAGGGTCGCCTGGGTGGCTCAGTCGTTAAGCGTCTGCCTTCGGCTCAGGTCATGATCCCAGGGTCCTGGGATTGAGCCCTGCATCGGGCTCCCTGCTCTGCAGGAAACCTGCTTCTACCTCTCCCACTTCCCCTGCTTGTGTTCCCTCTCTTGCTCTCTCTCTGTCAAATAAATAAATAAATAAATCTTAAAAATAAATAAATAAATAAAAATGGGTACTCAAGGGGCGCCTGGGTGGCTCAGTTGTTAAGCGTCTGCCTTCGGCTCAGGTCATGATCCCAGGGTCCTGGGATCAAGCCTGGCATCGGGCTCCCTGCTCTGCGGGAAGCCTGCTTCTCCCTCTCCCACTCTGCCTGCTTCTGTTCCCTCTCTCGCTGTGTCTCTTTCTGTCAAATAAATAAATAAAATCTTTAAAAAATAAAAATAAAAATGGGTACTCAAAATGGGTTTTCATTGCCTTCCTCTTGCTCCTGCAACTTCGATTGGTGTTGGCAATAATTCACCGTGCCATTTATTTAAATCATTTTCTCCCTAGCTCTGTGCTGCCCCTGCATTCAGGAGCTTCCAGGACAGGGAGAGTTGGTAAAAATAAAATATCAGTCCATGTAGCTCAGAATTAATAAATGAGGTGAACTGGGAACTCCAGGATGCCTGGTGAGAACAATGTGTCTGTCATCCCGGTGCTGGGAGCTAATCATTATGAGACTGTCGATTTGGTTGGTTTGTCCCTGGGACTTGGTCAGCAAGCAGGGGATTGAGAACTGTAGTCTACTGGGGGAGAAATCTGAGTTTCTCTGAGCTGTTCACACTGGTACCCAAGAGAATCACTTCACTGTTCTGCTGCTGAGGAAATGTTTCCATGTGCCGAAAAGGGAAGAAAATCTTCATCTTTTTCTTTGAAATTAGGAAAGAATAAATATATTTTTAAGTGAGTGATACTTAGAGATCAATCCCTGCTATGGATTGTGGGTTTGGGCCACCCTTTTCCATGGGGCTTATGCTCTCTTACTTAGGATAAATTAATTTCTATTAATATCCTATGTAGCCAGTCTGGGCAAGCCTATGATATCATCATATAGTTAGATAACCTTGGCTTGATGCAGAGAGACTTGGTCAAGGGCAATCTGGATCCAAAAAAGAGTTCACTATCATCCCTCCTCCTGTTAACAACAAATAAAACATTCCTCAATGCAGAATCTGCCATCTCTAGGGAAGGTTTTCTCTAAAGATCCGCCTGTCTTATTCTGAAGGGCTAGCCGCATGGAGTGCCTGATTTACAGAGTCCTTTCTGTGTTTTTGGAAATCCATGTTTGGTCTTCTCCAGTGCTGTCCGCCTCTAGCTCCAGAGCACTTACATAATGTAATTCAGTTGCACATGTTGTCTAATCCTAAGGGTGAGCTTTAACTGCTCGCACAGGACCGTGTGCTCTGAATTTTGGCCATGTGAGCTCAGCTTGGAGCTGCCAAGGGTGAGCCGCCAGCCCCAAATGCCACCATCTCCAATGCCCAGGCCCGTTTTCTTTAGAGTCCACCCTCATTGGAGTGAAGAGAAACTGGCCATGTGGAGAGGAGTGGGTTTTTTTTGTTGTTGTGTTTTTTTTTTTTTTAATGAAAACTGGGTCTTTTTTTTTTTTTTTTAAGATTTTATTTATTTATTTGACAGAGAGTGAGAGATCACAAGCAGGGGAAGTGGGAGAGGGAGAAGCAGTCTCCCCACCGAGCAGGGAGCCCGATGCGGGGCTCAATCCCAGGACCCCGGGATCATGACCTGAGCTGAAGGCAGACGCTTAACTGACTGAGCCACCCAGGCGCCCCAGGAGTGTTCTAAGAGAGGGCAAAAGGCCCCAAATTCTCTCCAGTGAAAGAATGCGTACCCCTGCCCCAGCAAGCATTTGCCCAGTAGTAATGCTGCTCCCTGTTTCTTTGGTGTAATGCAAAACTGTCACCTGGCAGGTGAGGTGCTATAGCAGTGGGTTCTCTTTCTCTGGCTGCCTGGCAGCTGGGGCTCCTGGGGGCCTGTTGCCTTTTATGGGGGCCATCCTTAAACCTCCTTCCTGAAAAGCCCTATAGGGCTGGACTCAGGAGGGAAGTTGGAAGTAACAGAGCATATCTAGAGCATCAAAGAGGAGGCAGAAACCAGGATCTCAAAGAGAAAAATTTTAGTAGAAACAAATTAGAAGTAAAGAAAGGCAACTTACAAACAGAAGCTAGAAGTGGAGTTCAGTTTTCTAGAATAGTGCTTGTGAAACTTCAGTGTGCAAAGGAATCACCAGAGGCTCTTGCTAAAATGCAGATTCTGATCCTGGACATCTGTGATTCTGCATTTCAACAAGCTTCTGGGTGATTCACAGCTGTTGAGCCTCAGAGGACCAAGGATCTGGGGCCAAAGGTGTTGGCTGCGGTTCCCCTTGACGGCTACATCTTGGACAGCACAGCCTCAGTGCTCAGGCGGGAGGCCCTGCTCAAGAAGCAGTAGAGCCTGTTGGTTAAGAATGCAGACGCTGAGCCACACTGCCTGGTTTGAATTCTGGCCACTTATTAGCAAATTACTTAATCAATCTGTGCCTTAGTTTCCGCATCTGTGAAATGGGAATAATCATAGTACCTACTTCACAGATCTGTTTGAGAGGGAAATGAGATAATGTATGCAAAATAAGTAGACCAGTGCTGGGTTCATTACAAATGCTGATTAAATGTTAGTTGTTGCTGTTACCGTTACTATCATTTGGTTGCAGAGTTCAGAGTCGGGCCTTCTGCTTCCTGCCTCAGCTGTAGACTTCTCTTGTCAAAGAAGAAAAGGGCTCTCGTGGGGTTATCTTACTCATCTTACTTCAGAGATGCTTAGTTTAGAATTTCTCCTTTTAGTAAATGAGGTCTAGAAATACAGCTCTGGGGAGGCAGCTGGAGCCTAGCTTTCACGTTCACGTCAGCCTTATTTATAGCTTCAAACTGAAAACCTGTGCAGCCTGGTGGCCTGTGAGGGAGGAGGCCACCACCGTGCATGGCAGGGACATTCCTGAGAGCCTCAGATGGGAGACCCAGTGCCCTGAGGTGATGGAATTTAAGTTTCCAGTTACCTCTGGGCATTCTCCCCAGCAGGGCCCAGGTTTCACGGTGGTAGAAGGCTGTTCACAGGGGCCTTTCTTCTTTTCCTCTTGAGAGGAACAGTGTGGCCTGGGAAGAGGCCAACACAAGTGCAAGTGCGTCACTCCCGGCTTAGCTTTCCTTTTCTGAGGGTGTCAGTTTCTTAAAAACAAAAATTCACAGAGGCAGAGCTTGGGGTTTCGGAAAGCAATAGTCTCCCATCTCTGCCTCTCTCGGAGAGTCTCTGCAGGCTAGCAGGATGCTTTGGGCTGAGCGTGGGACTTAGCTCCTGCTGGAATGTGGGTCTGTAGCATTTGCTGCCCTGGGAGTGTCATGTTGTTGACGTCAGAGGCAGCAGCAGGGGACTGGTTCTAGTTGGCAGCCTGGGAACAGGGGCTGCTCCTGTAAGCCAGCAGCAGTCAGGGGATGCAATGTGCTGCAGAAGAGGCATGGGGCTTCATTGTGTTCAGAATAAAATCTCGTGATTTCCATCATTGATGGGGATGGGTGGGGGATGGCAAAATGTAGATAGCAGGGGTATGTGTGAACCAGGCTGACCTGTCAGGGCTTGGTTCCTGACGAAGTTCCGAATGTCCACGGATTACCTATATTCAGGTTTGTGTTTGTCAGAGAGGGATTCCAAACACTTGAGGTCTGGCAGAATCTCAGCCCCTGGAGTCGTGTCTGGCGTGCCACTAAAAGGCTTTAAATATGGGGCACAGCTTCCTATGGCAGCTTTGTTGCTTAATAATTATGATCTTAAGCAAATTAATTATCCTGTGTTTCATTTTCCTCATCTATAAAATGAAGACAATATTTCCCTTCAAAATGTATTGAAAGACCTAAAAAGAAAACATGCTTAAAAAGCATAAACAGACAGTTAATAACATTGATGACACTGTTTGCCTCTGGGGAGGGTAATTAAATTCCTGACGGATAAAGGGAAGACTTTTTACGAGGTACCTTTTTATAACTTGAATTTTAAATTACATAATTATCTGTTTAAAATGCTAATTTCATTTAATTTAAAAATAAAACACATGTTGGGGGCGCCTGGGTGGCTCAGTCGGTTAGGCGACTGCCTTCGGCTCAGGTCGTGGTCCTGGAGTCCCGGGATCGAGTCCCACGTCGGGCTCCCTGCTCGGCGGGGAGTCTGCTTCTCCCTCTGACCCTCCCCCCTCTCATGTGCTCTCTCTCTCTCATTCTCTCTCTGTCAAATAATAAATAAAATCTTTATTAAAAAAAATAAATAAATAAAACACATGTTGGGATGCCTGGCTGGCTTAGTGGGTAGAGCATGCAACTCTTTTTTTTTTTTTTTTTTTTTTTTTAGAGAGGGAGGGAAGTGAAGAGAGACAGAGGAAGAGAGACAGAGAATCTTTTTTTTTTTTTAAAGATTTTTATTTATTTATTTAACAGAGATAGAGAGAGAGCACAAGTAGGCAGAGCGGCAGACAGAGGGAGAGGGAGAAGCAGGCTCTCCGCCAAGCAGGGAGCCCGATGCGGGGCTCGATCCCAGGACCCCGGGATTACGACCCAAGCCGAAGGCAGCCGCTTAACTGACTGACGCCCCGAGAATCTTTTTTTTTAAGATTTTATTTATTTATTTGAGAGCAAGCGGGAGAGCACAAGAAAGAGCATGAGTGGAGAAGGGGGAGGGGTGCAGAGGGAGAGGCAGAAGCAGATTCCCTGCTGAGCAGGGAGCCTGACAGAGAGCTTGATCCCAGGACCCTGGGACCATCACCTGAGCCGAAGGCAGACAGTTGACTGACTGAGCCACCCAGGCACCCTGAGAGAGAGAGACTCTTAAGCAGGCTCCGTGCTGGGCATGGGGCTCGACCTCACAGCCCTGAGATCATGACCTGAGCCAAAATCAAGAGTCAGGCACTTAACTGACTGAGCCACTGAAGTGCCCCGAGCATGCGACTCTTGATTGGAGGTTATAAGTTTGAGCCCCATGTTGGTTGTAGAGATTACTTAAAAATAAAATCTTTTAAAACAAACAAACAAACAAACAAACATATGTCAGGGGCACCTGGCTAGCTCAATCAGTAGAATGTGTGACTTTTGATCTCGGGGTTGTGAGTTCGAGCCCCACATGGGGTGTAGAGATTACTAAAAAAAATAAACTTAAAAAAAATTAAAAATAAAACACATGTCATAAAAATGTACTGATAGATTTCTCAGAGAGGTGGTTGTGCCTACCTGAACAGTAAATAAATGTTTGTGGTCAAATAAAAATAAATAAAACACCGAAGGCATTCAGTGAATGCCGTTTCCTTCTCCACAGTGATCGGCTCTCAAGACTAGGTCTCTTGAGTATCTGGGGGTGCCCCCCCAGCCCTCTACCCCCAAAAGCATGTGAAGATATCCTGTAGAGAAATACCTTCTAAGGCCTTCTCCCTTTTGGGATGAGAATCTGGTGGCCAGAGCCCTGGAGAATGAGCCACCTGCCAAATGAAACGCTGGGAACTGGGGACCCAGCCCAGGCTGTGGGGCTGTGGCAGTAGACGTATGTGCAGCCCAAATCGTGAATAGAGAGAGGCAGGGTGGACAAGATAGGTAGGATTTGCCAGCGCTATTGCAGTCTTGTTCCTCTCTAGTAGGACCTCAGGCTTCTATACCAAGGTATTGCTTTTGTTTTTCAGACGGCTTTCTCCCCTGTTCTCCCTTTTGATTTTCACAACAGCCTGTGATAGGTGGCTATTTACACACACTGCCTGAGGCTGAGAGGGAAGTGCCTTGCCTCAGATCACAGAAAAACCACCAGAGTAGGAGCAGCTCACATTTTTTTTTAAAAAGATTTTATTTATTTATTTATTTTTAAAGATTTTATTTATTTTTTTAGAGAGCGAGCGAGAGAGAAACAGAATGAGAGGGGAGAGGGTCAGAGGGAGAAGCAGGCTCCCCGCTGAGCCGGGAGCCCGACGCGGGACTCGATCCCAGGACCCTGGGATCATGACCTGAGCCGAAGGCAGATGCTTAACCATCTGAGCCACCCAGGCACCCCTGTTTATTTATTTATTTGAGAGAGAGTGAGAAACAGCATGAGAGGGGAGAGGGTCAGAGGGAGAAGCAGGCTCCCCGCTGAGCAGGGAGCCCGATGTGGGACTCGATACCAGGACCCTGGGATCATGACCTGAGCTGAAGGCAGACGCTTAACCATCTGAGCCACCCAGGCGCCCAGAGATTTTATTTATTTATTTATTTATTTATTTATTTATTTATTTATTTATTTGAGAGAGAGTGAGAAACAGCATGAGAGGGGAGAGGGTCAGAGGGAAAAGCAGGCTCCCCGCCGAGCCGGGAGCCCGATGCGGGACTTGATCCCGGGACCCTGGGGTCATAACCTGAGCCAAAGGCAGTCGCTTAACCAACTGAGCCACCCAGGCGCCCAGGAGCAGCTCACATTTGTTCCAGGTTTTCTGTATGTCAGACCCTGTACTAAATGTTTTTCATGCATTATTTGACTTTCTTTTCTTAGCAGTTCTAGGAGCTAGGTACTAACATCAACTCCATGTTACAGATCAGAAAGAAAAAAAAACTGAACAGGTTAAGTAACTGCCTAAAGCCACACAGCTAGGAAGTGGCCAAGTCAGGATTTCAGTGGAGGGTGTGCTCATGGGCCACCACATCCTGGCCGGAGTGGAGTACTAATGGGGTCCCAGCATCTCCCTGCTTTGTCAGGAAGAAGAGTGCCTCTTTCGTAACGCTACCCCCAAAGGCCTTTGTGGGCTCTGCAGGTTCCTACTTCAGTCTCTGGAAGATTTGGATACAAGCTTAAGAAAACTGAACTCTCGCCTGTTTGTAGTCCGGGGACAGCCCGCTGACGTATTCCCAAGATTATTCAAGGTAAGTGTGCAGACTCCTAGAGAAGACAGGGAGATTCTGTTCTCTAGACTTTCCCCGCAGACTGAATGAGGTGATATTCTGACTCAGAAACGGGAACCCGTCAGTGCTGGTCTGTAGAGGAGTTGGGAGCAAAGCCGATCAGTTTGCCGACAGAATGGAAACTGTGTTAAGGAAAAAAGTCTGTGAAACCAGTGTCTTGTTGGAAAGTTCCCAGCTCAGTCCAGACAAGGGATGTGGCAAGTTATCCCACCCTGCATGCCATTGGCTTCCTCAGATGTTTCCTTGGCTTCAGCCAACAAGATTTATTAGGGCTCTTCCTATGCCAGGAGTTTGAGGACAAGTTTTCCTTTTTAGCACGGGGCGTTTCCTGTCTTGCGATGTGCTGTTTATTGGGGAAAAAATCAGCCTTTTTGAGGGAGCTCCGTTCTCCCGGGGCAAATGGTTGATAAAATCTTCACTTGGGTACTATGTAGGCCTCTGTCTATTCTATCAGGTAGCCAGCTCCCCTGCCCCCGCTCCAGCCCCTTTCTTTATAAAGCAGAACTACTCGTGGACAGAGGGCTCTAGGACAGTCTCTCCTCATCCTCAGCAGTGCAGGGTCATTTTCATAGCCCCTTCCACCCCAACTCCCTTCCCTACCCTTCCACGGGGGGAAGACCAGAGGAAAGGTCTGCTGTCAAGGCAAGCAGCTTAGGAAATACCTCATCATTCACTCATCATTCACTTCACCTCCCCACACCCCCACACAGACACACACATATAAATCAACCATGCTGGAAATAGCCGATGTTCACTGAGGACAGAGTAGGAGTCAAGAGCCCTTCTAAGTAAATGCTTTACATATATTAATTTTCATAGCAGCCCCAGAGGTATGTGCTGCTATCCCTGTTCTAGATGAGGGAACAATAACTTCGTGGTTGTGAAGCCGAGAGGTGATGATCAAAGATTTGAGCCCCGGCTCTCTGGCTCCAGATTTGTGTCCTTAACCAGCACACCACAAAACACAGTGGCCTCTTCTCCTCCTCTGCATTGTCTCCCCTCTCTCCCCCTAGCACCTCAGAGGCCAACCCAGCAATGGCCCAGAGGTACGGAGGATCAGTCAGTCAGTCCTTTAGCATATAATAGTCCCCCTCTCCCCTTATCCATCACCTGCTGTCAACCGTAGCCTGGAAGCAGATGATCCTCCTTCTGACAGAGAGTCAGTAGGTCATCGGGTAGCTCAGCACCACATCGCAACACCTGCGTCCTTCCCCTCACTCACCTCCTCACGTAGGCATTATATTGTCTCATGTTATCACAGGAAGAAGGGACAGTGCAGTGTAAGGTACGGCAAGGGGTGCTTTACGACCGAGAACCACTTTCACGTAACTTTTATTACAGTATATTTTATAGTTGTTCTATTCTATTAGTAGTTACTCTTGTTAATCTGTTGTGCCTAACTTATAAATTAAACTTTATCCTAAGTAAGTATGTATAGGAAAAACCATAGCACTCTGTGTAGGGTTCAGTACTATCTTCAGTTGCAGGCATCCACTGGTGGTCTTGGAACACATCCCTGCAGACAGGAGGCGACTACCGTATATTTATTGAGCTTCTACTATGTCCTAGGCCCCCAGTGAGGTACTAGGATAATGATGAGACAGCATGGTTTCTGCTCTGAGAGCTCACACTCTTAATGGGGGAAATAGGCAAGTAATGGGCAACTTCACTGCCATATGATAAATGCTGTGATGGGAAAAGGGCAACGTGCAGGAAAAATTCCTGTTGAAAGAGAAGGTCAAGGAAAGCTTCTTGGAGAAAGTGGCATCTAATAATATTTTTTTTATTATTCACCAAGTTAATGTCATTTATATGAATTGCTAAGCATGGTACCTGGCTCGTAGTAAGGGCTCAATAAATATTTAGTCCCATTATCCTGGATGAGGGATAGCCAGCCCTGCTCAGGACCCACACCACAGGCAGGACTGAATTAGGTCCCGCATGACCAGGACATTTGCCCTAGGTGTTTAGAGTATTAAGGGGCTATGACCAGAGACTTTGGTTGGAATGCGGTTTTCTTTTTGCTAGTCATGTTCTAGGGCTTTCTGTGGGTTATCTGTACAACCTTTTACTGGGCCAGCTTTCTCCCAGCATTGCAAGGAAATCTAGAAAATTCTACTAGAAAAGCCTAAAGGCTTGGAAAAGAATTCCCTTCTTTTTTAACATGTGGCCCTTCTGGTCTGATTTCTCTGACCTCTGGACTAAGGATTGCTCCTCCTTCCCCAGCTTTTCTGAGAGCTAGAGCCTATTAGCTCTGTTTGCTACTGGCCTCAGGAGTGTTGCTGTGGAAACCATTAGGACACTTCACATAGCGCAAGTCTGCCAAGAAAACTAAGCCAGAAGTTTGTAGGGCTCTGAGGAGCTCTGGGAAAGGCATGCTGGGCAGGAGGGAGGCAGTGATCGTTTCCCCCGCTGTCTGCACCAGTGAGTCAGTGCTTCTTTCTGGGACTAGGGGCTCCCCTCGGAGCATTGTATTTATAGCCTCCTGCTGCATTCTCCTACCCCAGGACACAGCAAATGTACAGGGCTACCCACCTTTCTCTTAATTCCACTAGCCTCAGGCTCCACTGTTGCCATGCTGGTGGCCTCACCTCAAAGGCCTGCTTTCCTCAACCCTTGGGAACCTCAGATTGTTTGCTTTCCAGTTCAAATCTTTGTCCCTAGTTTGTTCTGCAGCCCATTCTGACAGGTCTCTAGACTCGTCTCTTCCTAGGAAGGAGCTGAGTCCTCAGCTGCATTCTTCTCCCCAAACATTGTTTAGCATAACAGATTCTCTCCCCACAGGAATGGGGGGTGACCCGCTTGACCTTTGAATATGACTCCGAACCCTTTGGGAAAGAACGGGATGCAGCCATCATGAAGATGGCCAAGGAGGCCGGTGTGGAGGTGGTGACTGAGAACTCTCATACTCTCTATGACCTGGACAAGTAAGACATGGGTCCCAGGGGTCAGGTTGCCAATTGTGGGAGTTGGTGGTTTGGGCCCCTGCTGAGCAGAACTTTGGGAGATTTACCAATAGAGCCACCTGGCACATGAAGTATGGCATTTTCTAGAAGCTGGAGGGGAATGGGCCAGAGTTGGGGCCTGTGGAACAGATCACAAAGAGCTTTACCCAATTTGGGTGCAAAGAGGCTTACTAGGGCCGAGCGGTGAGAACAGTGAGGATCCCCATGCAAGATCTTCATAGATCTGCTTAGGAGCAGATTAGATTAGGATCTGCTGTCCTATCCCCTCCTCATGCTTCCACTTCTGTCCTGCTCCTGAAAGGCTGTCTTCTGACCTCAGTGGACCCTGCCTGTTATGCCCTTCCCGACAGAGCTCTGTTCTCATAGGTCCTGTTTCTGTACCTAATACGGGTTCCCTGGGCTCCTCTGCCTATCTGGGTTTCCAGGCCATGCATTTAGATGTTGTGCAGGAGGCTCTAGAGCTCCCTGCAGGGGGCCCATCACTACAGACTAGCCTCCTTCCCTAGGGACAGGCCTCTGCTTTCAGAGCGTCTAGGAGGAAACCCTCTCCTCCCCTTCCCTGGCAGAGCTGTCACCCTCTTGCTGCTGTTGCTGCCAAGCCGGCAGCCGTCACTGTTCCCTGCCCCCCTCTCCCAGACCCAGTGGTGGCTGCCAGGAGGCCAGGTCACACGTCTCTGCACGTGAGCTAGTTCTCCGGAGGAGCTGCTGGGTGTGGAGCTCCTCCTCCTGCCGCGTGCCAGAGGACGGGGGAGGTACTGCAGGGGCTGCCGCCAACCTTATATCCCCACAGTGAACTCACCCAGCCAGCCAGGTCTTGCGTAAGCTGCCGCTCGGCCAACAAGAAAAGCCCTGGGAATCTGGCTCCCGACCACCCCAAGGCATTCTATAGAAACGGCCTCGATTCTCCTCCTCAGTCCTGTATCTTCTTTTCTTACCTGAATGCGGCTCTGTTTCCCTTGATCATGAAAGCAGATTTTGTAAGCTGCCAAACACCCTTTAAATAGTTGTTGCTATTAATCCCAGTCCCAGTCTCTGATCTAGGAAGGATAGGCTGTTCTCCACCTCTCTGTTCTAATAAATTGGGGCCAAGAAGGCAATGATTTTTCAACAAGGGAACTTGCTTGCAGTTCTTATCAAAGAACTTCCTGAAGGCTTACGCTGGGATAGAGAGGAAGGCGCCATGGGGATTCCCATGACTTGGACACACAGGCTGAGTACCAAGAAGGCTAGTGGGGATTTTTCTGTGATTAGAGAGATATGGTCAGTCTCTGTCTTGAGGAGGCTCCACGGCGACACCAGGGAACCTGGAACTGAGTCCCAGCTTTGGCCCTGCCTTGCTCCATTACCCGAGGCACCTGCTCCAGCTCCCTGGGCTTCATTTTCCCTCTTGGTAAAATGGAGATGTAGCCTCCCTTGCCCCTTCGTTTCCACTTAGGGGTGGGACCTGTGAGTGGAGAAGGAAAGCCACCCTCCAAGCCGTCAAAGTTTGGGCTCTTTTCTGGGCGGGCAGGGACCTGAAATGAAGGGCCTCGTGCATGACGTTAGGTGTGCTTTGGGATTCCCAGGATTATTGAGCTGAATGGGCAGAAGCCGCCCCTTACCTACAAGCGCTTTCAGGCCATCATCAGCCGCATGGAGCTGCCCAAGAAGCCCGTGGGCTCCGTGACGAGCCAGCAGATGGAGAGCTGCAGGGCCGACATCCAGGAGAACCACGATGACACCTATGGCGTGCCCTCCCTCGAGGAGCTGGGTGCGTACTTCCTGCCCAGAGCCCCCTTTTTTGTAAAATAACTGACCAGGTTTTTTCTGCTTTGTCAAAGTGATGCATGTTATTATACCCGGTGTTGAAGATACAGTGAAACCAGAATGGGAATAACAATAACTATGACCCCACCACCCAGAGATAGCCACTACTTATTTTGGAGCATGTCTTCCCAGTCTCTTTTCTGTTCCTACTCATGTACATAATGTTATGTTTCTAATTCCTGCTCCTGTTTTTGTACCTTTCTCTCTCAGAAGATACAGGCCCAGCATAGTGCTGGCATCAATGGGCTCCTCAATACCAAGTTAACTAGTGTTGCTTCCACTGAGAGGGGGTCTGTCAGCCCCTCAGGTTACTGACTGAACCCTTTCTCCCCTTCCTCCCCACCCCCCATTTTTTTATCTGAATAAAGTTAACCTTTCTCACCTGAAAACAGCAGTCATTGCCAGCCAACCCGATAGGATGGGCAGGACAGGAATGTTCTCGTGTGCCTGGAATGAGGAGTGGCAGGGTTAGGGAAGGCAAGGGAGAGGACAGAAAAAAAGTCACGTCGGAAAGAGAACTGGAATGACCTGGCAAACGCTGAAATGTTAAGATGATCTCAGCTCCAGCAGCACCAAGAACACAGGGTTCAGTTCCCACGAAGCTCAAAGAACATACCGATGTGTCAAGACTTGCTGAGCTATCACTGAAATGGCCTGACCTCTGGTCCTGTGACCTTCTCTTCCTTCTCACGTAGGGTTCCCTACCGAAGGACTGGGCCCAGCTGTTTGGCAAGGAGGAGAGACAGAAGCTCTGGCCCGCCTGGATAAGCATTTGGAACGGAAGGTATGGCCACCACTTCTGGGACACAGAACTTCGGGTGCTAGCGCCCAGGTGGCAGGGGATGTGAGGGTCAGCTTCACGGCTTTTAGTGCCTCTTAGCTCAAAGTGCTTGAAAGTGAAAAACCTTCCTGGCGGCAGTAACAGCAGTAATAGTAGCTACCATTTAGTGAGTGCTTACCACATGTTGGTCCCTGGGTAAAGTACCTACTTGCACGATTTCCTGTCGTCTTTTCAATATCCCTACCAGGTAGGTGTTAAGCCCTCCATTGGACAGATTAGGAAATTAAGGTTTAGAGAGGATAAGTAACTTGCCTGAGGTCACACAGTTAGGAAATAGTAGACTTAGATCTTGTTCTGTGTGATTCCAGAACTTACCCTAGATTGCTTTTCTTTCATCTCTATGCAGGCTCCCCTTACTGAGAGGGTATCTGGTTAATGAAGTCCATAAGATTAATTTCTTTGTGTTTATGTGTCCCCTCCTCACCTTTTGCTGGGTCCCCTCCAAGGCATTGATTTCCATTTGTTTGGACACAGAGAACAAATAGCCACTCCCAGTGAAGTGGGGATTGGCAAGGGGAAGGAAAGAGGCGGAGGCCCCAAAGGCACTCCTTAACAAGGTCACATGGCTTCCATGACCCTGGGGCTAGAGGAGCAGAGAAGGTTCTCGTGACTGAGTCAGTTGCTGGTTTTCTGCCCGGTGTTGCTGGTTTGTAGACCAGTTCACAACCTTTTGTATTCTCAGATAAGTAAGCATTTGGCCCAGCAGCCAGGTGATAACTATGGAACAAGGAAAAATAGGCAGACCTACATAGGAAAAATGCTTCCCAGCCCTGGAGGTGCCTCACCAGCGGTGAAAATGTGCGTCAGATCCCACCTCCCTTAGACCCATAGGCCTATCTGGGTGTTACCTTCAGCCAGTGCCACCAACTGAAAAGGATGAGACTGATGTCCAAGGGCTTTGGGGAGGACCAGCTGTCCTTGTCCACATCAGGAGCTTTACCCAGAGATTCTTGGGATCAGTTTGGGGACACAGGCCAGGCCAAGGGGGCAGAGTGGTGGAGGTGACAAACAGGATGGCAGGAGTAGAATAAGACTGACAAGTATAAAGAGCTAACTTATAGCCTTGTGGATTATCATCACCTTAAAAGCACTTTGTGGAGGGCTGCCCCTTCTATCACCAAGTCAGGGGGTCCTTTTCCACATATCCCTGGGTCTGGTCTGTCATAGGGCCTTGTGTCAGGATCCTACAGACTCCCTGGTGGCCAACGGGAACGTTGTGTCCTACGACTGGGAGAGGAAAAGGGGCCTGTGAGCAGGAGTGTAACCTGCTCTGAGGAGGTTTATTTCAGTCTTCCATTTTCTAACACTGAAGTGAGCATCTGTCTACTCATGTCAAGATGGCTTAGCTGCTGGAAAGACTGCCCAATGAGGCAAGTATGGAGTTTGTCTCCAGGAGAGTAGTTTATTGCAGATGACAGACATGAAACAAGAAATTACAATGTACTGTGGGTCAGGAAAGGAGTGGTTCAAAGGGTTAGGAGAGCAAAGAGCAAGAGAGTTTTTTTTCATTAATCAGTTTGTATTTGCAAGCTGGCTTTTGAAAAAGTACCTTTTCAAAACTTTTGAAAAGTTTTTGAGCTCATGTAACTAAGAGTCTAAGGTGTAGCCTTTAGGCACAGCTGGACTCAGATGTCCAAATAATGCTACCGGGAATACATTCTCCATCTCTGAGCTCGGCTTTTGTCTCTGTTAGTTCATTCTCGGGTAGGCTTTCCTTAAACAGTGGCAAAGTGGTCACCAGCAGCTTATTTTCAATCTGCTTAGCACACCAGCGGAAGTGTGGTATGCCTCTTTCCAAAACCTCCAGGAAAAGTCCCGAGGAGTGTTTTCATTGGCCTGGCTTGGGTCATGCGACAGTCCCTGACTCAGTCATCATGGCCAAGGAAGGGGTGCTCTCCCTGGTCAGACTTGCACCCTGAGCCTACTCCCAGAGTCAGAGGTGAGCTTAGCTGCACTTCACCCACTTGGACTGAGATTAGGGAAGGCTGGATCACCACAAGAAAATTAGGTGCTGTCACCAAAAAGGGGAGACTCCATATGATCTTTACTACTGGGTTACCCAAAATAGTAGATGAGGGCAAGCATCTCTTTTTAAAAGTATCCCCATTTTTGGGGAGCCTGGGTGGCTCAGATGGTTAAGCGTCTGCCTTCAGCTCAGGTCATGATCCCAGGGTCCTGGGATCGAGTCCCGCATCGGGCTCCCTGCTCTGCAGGAAGCCTGCTTCTCCCTCTCCCACTCCCCCTGCTTGTGTTCCCTCTTTCGCTGTGTCTCTCTCTGTCAAATAAATAAAATCTTTAAAAAAAAAAAAAAAAGTATCCCCATTTTTATTTTTATTTTTTATTTTATTTTATTTTTTTTTAAAAGATTTTATTTATTTATTTGACAGAGAGAGACATAGCGAGAGCAGGAACACAAGCAGGGGGAGTGGGAGAGGGAGAAGCAGGCTTCCTGCAGAGCAGGGAGCCCGATGCGGGACTCGATCCCAGGACCCTGGGATCATGACCTGAGCTGAAGGCAGACGCTTAACAACTGAGCCACCCAGGCGCCCAAGTATCCCCATTTTTAAATGAAAACGGAATGATAGAATTAGAATACCAGCATTTTGTAGCCTTCAATGATGACATGTTGTACGTTAATGACTGCTAACTCCATGAAGAGAGCTAGGCAGGCATTCTGTCCCCCCATAGTCTTGCCAAAGAAATCAAACCTGAGTCCAATCCTGTCTCTGGTCCCAGCCACCAATTTGCAGGCAGTATACCATCAGTGTGCAATCAGCAAAATGCAGACTGTGAGAATCAGTACAAGTCAAATGGCCTGGATTCTTCCATAAAGCAAGGGAAAGAAAGAAATGACCGGAGATACATAGATTAAAAGAAACTTAAAATAACACATCAAAGCCCTATAAATGGCCAGGGCTAAACTATAGTGCCTAGGGATGCACATGTGGTTGGAAAAAAACCCACTTAAAAATGCAAGGAATAGGAGCACCTGGGTGGCTCAGTCGGTTAAGTGTCCAACTCTTGATTTCGGCTCAGGTCATGATCTTGGGGTCTTGAGATTGAGCCCCAAGTCAGGCTCCTTGCAGGGCATGGAGCCTGCTTAAAATTCTCCCTCTCCCTCTGCTCCTCCCCCTTCTAAAAAATGCAAGGAATAACTAAAAAGATAAAGCCCTCCCTCCCAAATATGCTTTGCAAAAATAGGAAAACATCAACATTTTTAAATGCAAGGAAGTGATTATTATAAAAGTTCGGTGAGTGGTCACTTGTGGGGCCAGGAAGGGACTGTGACTAGGGTTTCTGGGGTGGCCAGCAAAGTTCCGGTTCTTGAACTTTGGTGATTGTTGCATGAGTGTTTGCCTTAGAATAATTCATTAAGCCACACACCGGTGTTACTTCCGTATCTGTACTTCACTTAAAATAAAAAGGCTTTCAGAGGGAGGTGCGTAAGGGCGTGAGCAGGCAAATATACCTAATGTTTGTCAGAGACACTTAACCTAATACCTGAGGGGTTACCTGCAGAGGAGGTGACTGTTAGGTTGAGACTTGAAGGAAAGGTCAGAGTTAACCAAGGGAAAGTGAGTGAAAAGCGGGACAGCATTCCAGGCCAAGGGAGCCGCGTGTGCAAAGGCCCGCAAGAGTGTGGCGCTTACAAGAGAGTGGCAAGAGATGAAGCTTAAGAAAGACAGGCTCGGGGCGCCTGGGTGGCTCAGTTGGTTAAGCGACTGCCTTCAGCTCAGGTCATGATCCTGGAGTCCCGGGATCGAGTCCCGCATCGGGCTCCCTGCTCGGCAGGGAGTCTGCTTCTCCCTCTGACCCTCCTCCCTCTCATGCTCTCTGTCTCTCATTCTCTCTCTCTCAAATAAATAAATAAAATCTTTTAAAAAAAAAAAAGAAAGACAGGCTCATCCAGACAGTGGGGTGCTTGTAAGCCATGTTTAAGATTGGGACTTTATCCTAACAGCAACAGGAATCCCAGTGCACGTTTGTTCCTGCAGGATGGTGTTCTTAAGCCATTGCTCTGCTCCCACTGTGGAGATGGAATTACAGGGGGGATGAGAAGAGATGCAGGGAGGTCAGTTGGGAGGCTGTCACAGTTGTCTAGTCTACATCTTAGCCTGAACCAGGTTGGTAGCAAGAGGGGAAGAAAAGGACAGATTTGAGGAGTATTTGAACAGTAGAATTGACAGGACTTGGTGACAAGGAAGTCAAAGGTGATGGCCAGGCCTCTGGCTTGGACACCCAGGTAGATGACTGTGCGCTTTCTGAGCTAGAAATGCCCATGGAAGGGTGGTCTGGAGAAAAGAGCTGTTACACTTTGAGGGGCCTGGATAGCAATCAGGTAGAGATCCTGGCAGGGAGTTGGATGGAGTGATCTGGGAGTCTAGCTAAGCAGTAGCTAAGCAGTCTGAGCTGGAGCCACCAACGTGTCGATCATCCTCACAGAGGTGGCATTGGGAGCCATGGGACTGGACGTGCTTTCCCAGGAACACAGTTGAGTAGGGGCCCAGCACAGAGCCCTGAGATGCCAACATTGAAGAGATTGGGAGGGGAGGCAGCCAGCCACGTGGGAGGCAGCCAGGAGTGTGTGGAGTCCAGAGGCGAAGGGAACAGAGGGTGTGGAGACTAGAGCAGGGTGAGGTATGCTGAGAGGTCCGAAAATATGGTAGGCAAGCACCTGCAGGACTCAGTGGTGCGGAGATCACAGGCACTCTGTGGGAGCCAGCTTGGAGGCAGCAGTGAAGGCAGAAGCCATGCTGGGGTGGGCCAAGAAGTGCAGGTGGCTATGGGACATGGGCTGTGGAGAGAAGAAAGTGGACAGGATAGAGGTCCACAGGCTTCCTAGAGGTTCTTTTTTTTTTTTCCTTTGCAAAGAAATGAGATGATTTTCCCAATGTTCTTGGAGTGGAAACTGGAGAGGGAGAGATGGAAGGTGCAGTGGAAGGAAGAGGGGAGAGCTCCAGAGCCAGGGGAGACCTTGGCCTTGGGCAGAGTCACCAGAGACGCGGTGGGGAGGAGATGGGGAGGTGTGGACCCAGGTGAGTTTGTAGATTTGGTGGCTAAGAGTTGAGGAGTTTTTCAGCCGAAGGCTTGCATTTCCTTACAGTAAGGAAGGGAAGTCATCTGCTGAGGGGTGGTGGGGAAGTGTGGAGGAGGAGGTCTGCAGAGGGTGTAAAGTTTGTGAAAGAGGCATCACGAAGAGGAAAAGAGGGTGCGAGGAGTTGAGGTAGAAACAGTTATCAGCTGTAGGTGGAATCTGGAGTTAGAAGCAAAGTCCGCCCAGCCCTGTCTCTTAGCACCTCTGTAACCCCAGAAGAGCCACATAATCCTTTGAGCTTTGTGGTTCGTTTTCAAAAGGAGGTACAGATAAGTGCTGGCCCAGAGGATTGTCTCCCCATGGGAGAAGCCACGGTGAGCCACGAGGTAAAGCACTATGCCAGTGCCTTGGGGTTGTTCTCTGCAACGTCCAGGCCTTTCCTTTCTTCGCCTTCTCTTCCTGCTGCAGGCCTGGGTTGCCAACTATGAGAGACCCCGAATGAACGCCAACTCCCTGCTGGCCAGCCCCACGGGCCTCAGCCCCTACCTGCGCTTCGGCTGCCTCTCGAGCCGTCTCTTCTACTACCGCCTGTGGGACCTGTATAAAAAGGTGAGGGCGCGGCGAGGGCAACACGCCCTGCCCCCGGTTGCAGGCCAGACACCCTGCAAAGAGGCCTTCCCCGCTGGCCCTGGTGGTGGGGACCGGGTTGTGGGTTCTGGGGGTGCTTATGTTGTGTACAGTCCAGAGAAGGTAGGGAGGAGTCACATCCAAGAGGTGGCAGAACCCAGCGCCACCCAAACTGCTGATCTAAATAAACTCCAGGTTATCAAGTAGAACAGGACAGGCCAAAAAGCTGACCTCAGGGTGTGACCCTCCAGGTGGCAGATCTGCCGGGCAAGCACTCGGGCTGGGAGGCAGGGAGGGCAAGGCTGGAACCAGTCCCAAGCGGAAGAGCACAGCAGCCCTCTGTGGGGCTGGCGCGGAGCATTTAACGGGGGAGCCCAGGAGCAGTAACCTGCCTACCAGTAACAGGGAAGTGACCCGGGCTGAATGCAGGGCTGTCCTGTATGGACCACAGGCAAATAACCCTGTGGTAGTGCACCTGCCCCCAGAAGGAAAGAGGGCGACACATCCAACTATCCGCATTCAGCAGGTCATCCTTACATCTGTGTCGTTTCACGCTGTTTCCCTGTCCTTGCCTGTAGCAGGATTTTGTGGCATGGGGTGGCTTTGCCAGTTTGGAATCTTGTGATTTCAGGAAAGTCATTATTTGCTTGGAGGCCTGGTCTGATCTTTTAATTCCCTCAAGGCCCCAGATCCAGGCTGTTGTAATCACTTATTTAACCAGAATCTAAACTGAGCATTTTTTATGCATGCTGATGGGTAAACTCCCTTTGACTCTAGAAAGTAGAGCCAAGCAGGCACCCTTGAGGACGAGGATCATGGGCCAGGCCTATGGAGTTTGTTTCCCGGTGCACACAGCCAGGGGGTGCTCTGGGTTTCAGTCTGCGGGCACGCTGGGCCACTGCTAGGGCATAGTCCCCTCCAAGTGTCCAGGGGGGGAGCCACCACATTCGTAGCAGCTCCAGACTGCTCTGTGGGAGAGACCTGAGTGACATGGCGCCGAGAGCTGGGCCAGTGTTACATCTGTGTGCTGCCCCCACCCCAGGTGAAGCGGAACAGCACGCCCCCCCTCTCCCTGTTTGGGCAACTCCTATGGCGAGAGTTCTTCTACACGGCAGCCACCAACAACCCCAGGTTTGACCGAATGGAAGGGAACCCCATCTGCATCCAGATCCCCTGGGACCGCAACCCCGAAGCCCTGGCCAAGTGGGCCGAGGGCAAGACAGGCTTCCCTTGGATCGACGCCATCATGACCCAGCTGAGGCAGGAGGGCTGGATTCACCATCTGGCCCGGCATGCCGTGGCCTGTTTCCTCACCCGCGGGGACCTCTGGGTCAGCTGGGAGAGCGGGGTCCGGGTGAGTGCGCTCTCAGGGGAAGCTAGCCCGTACCCTCTCATCAGGCCCAGCAAGGGCAGCCTTCTTCTGGCCTGAGGCCTGGGGTGGGATCCCTGGATCCAGGGGGTCCCCTCCAAATCCTTCTTGGCTTGCCCTCAGCAGAAGGGCTTCGGCTCTCTCTTCTCCATGGGGCATGTGGTATCTTGGGGAGCACCTGGCAGTAGGTCCCCATCGAGGCTGACTGTCTCACCCTGTCCCCATGTAGGTATTTGATGAGCTGCTCCTGGATGCGGATTTCAGCGTGAATGCAGGCAGCTGGATGTGGCTGTCCTGCAGTGCTTTCTTCCAGCAGTTCTTTCACTGCTACTGCCCTGTGGGCTTCGGCCGCCGCACAGACCCCAGCGGAGACTACATCAGGTGAGGCTGCGGTCCAGGCTCTCTGGCTCCTGGCTGCTGGGCCCGGCTCCTAAGGTAAGATACCCGTGGCCCTTTGAAGGAGAGTCGCCGTGTGCTGACCGGTTGTCCAACGTGTGTGTTTCAGGCGATACCTGCCCATATTGAAAGGATTCCCCTCTCGATACATCTATGAGCCCTGGAATGCCCCCGAGTCCATTCAGAAGGCAGCCAAGTGCATCATTGGTGTGGACTACCCCCGGCCCATCGTCAACCATGCTGAGACCAGCCGGCTCAACATTGAGCGAATGAAGCAGATTTACCAGCAGCTCTCCCGCTACCGGGGACTCTGTAAGGAGCCACTACTCCCATCCCCCAGCCCCCAGCTCACTGAAGGGAAGGACGTACCTGTGGGCTCTGTGGGGATTTCCCAACATTTGCAAAGGGAGACCAGGTGCTCTCTTCTCAGCTGTTAAGTTGACCTGACTTCCCACGGCACAGGGCACTGCAGGCTGGGCTGGATCAGGCCTCTCTTAATTGTGGCCAGTGGGGAGAGGTGGAACGTCAGAGTCATGGCCCAGCACCCCCTGTCCCCCGCCACCCCATCTTGTCTTCAACGGTCCTGTGGCCCTCTGCAGTCTTGTGAGATGGCATTCTGATTGCTCCCCTGCCTCTCTTCCAGGTCTGCTGGCGTCCGTCCCTTCCTGTGTGGAAGACCTCAGCAACCCGGTGGCAGAGCCCAGCTCGGGCCAGACTGGGAGCATGAGCAGTGCAGGTGAGTAGCAGCTGGCCTCCTGTGGCCTATGTCCGTGCAGAGGACACCACAGACCTACTGCCACTTGAGTCATTGAGGGCTGAGGACAAAGGCTGGAATGAGTCTGTGCCCCATATATAGAGCTTATATTCCGCTTGGGAGAGACAAATAGTAAAGGAACCGTACAAGATCATTTCAGATAAAAAGTGCTTTTGGGGAAAATAAAATTGAATGACCTGATGTGAGAGGGGCCGGGGAAGGGGGATGGTACTTTAGATTGGAGTAGTGAGGGAACACCAGTCTAAGCAGGGACCCAAGTCACAAGCAGAACCCGGCTTTCCGAGAACTGGGAGAAGAGCATTCCAGGCAAAGGGAATAGCAAGAAAAGACAAGAGACAGAATGAGCTTAGCTAATGCAAGGAACAGAGAAAGGGAGCCAGTGTGGCTGGCATGTCTCGAGGGAGGAGCTAGAATGAGACGATGAGTAAGAGGTACTGGGTAAGAGGAGCTGTGGCCAGAGCAGCATCCCCAGGCTCCACACCCATGAGGAGGAGTAGGATTCTGTCGTCAGTGCCCTGAGAAGGCACTGCCGGCTCGTGAGCAGGGTGGAGGTGTGGGGATCTGATCTAGGTTGTCAAAAGCTCACTCTGCCTGCTGTGTGGAGGGGACAGTGTGGGCAGGGGCAAGGACAGAGAGGCTAGAAAGGAGGCAGCCATGGTCATCCAGGCAGGAGGTGGCAGCACAGGCCGGTGGTGGGGCTGAATTCTTAACCTCCCCCACTCCTCGGCTCTGGGATAAATATCAGTAAGATGAGACCAGCAAGAACTCCAGGGCTTTTTCCAGTTTGCCCAGCCAGGCGGCTCCACAGACGAGGGTACTGCTTCCGGAGGCCGATCGGCATCATGGAGGGAATGCCTGACCTCTGGAGCAAGGGCAGCACACACGCCAACTCCGTCTCTGGCCTGGAGCCTGTGGGGCTTGGGGCCCAAAAGCTGGCCGTACTGCCAGCAGGCCGGGTCGTGCTCTCCTTAGACATTTCTGGGCAAGGTCACTGCTGAAAGGAAGGCCGAGGGGCAGGCCTGAGGAGGAACATGTTGGCATAGCTTCGAGGCAGGCTCCCTGCCCCTTAAGGAGCTGCCACTGCCCAGTTTCAGGTCGTCTTGGCTTGCTGCACAGTCCGTGTGACACTTGGACCTGCTTCCCTGCAGGCCCAAGAACACTACCCAGTGGCCCAGCGTCCCCCAAGCGCAAGTTGGAAGCAGCCGAGGAGCCACCAGGTGAAGAACTCAGCAAACGGGCCAGGGTGGCAGAGGTGCCTGCCCCAGAGCTGCCGAGCAGGGATGTCTGAGAGTGAGTGACAGCAGCTTAGATTCACCTTTGGGAAGGAAGGTGGGAGAGGTGGGGGTGGGTTCGGAGCTGAAGGTTAAAACCCAGCAAACTAGATTAAAACCGGGTGGGCATTGCATGATTTTTTTTAGGATTTCAACTTTAAATTTCTACCATTCTGACTTGTATACCTTTTAAATTTTCAAAGGAAATTTAAAAGTAAAGCCTTTTTCTTTCTTTACCAACGAAGGAAAAAAATGTTTTTTGGCTCTTTCTACTTATCAAAGTGAGTCAAATCCAACAAAAAGAAAGCAGAGCCTCGGAGGTGAAGCTGTGGGAGAAACGGCCCCGGGGCAGGGTCTGAGGAGGCTCCAGGACCGGCTGCTACCGGGGACAGGCTATGTCCCATGGGCAGGCCAGCGGAGGGCAGCACTCACCTTCGGAAGAAAGGCAGAGGGCTGCGTGTGGCAGTAGGCCCAGCCCCAGCTGAGGACCAATAGAGTCTGGCTGCCCCTCATCTGTGCCTCTTAAAGCCACTCCTCCATTCTCACCTTCCTCATGGCCGTGGCTCTGCACTTCCCTGTCAGCACTCAGCTTGCTTGGAAGCCCCCTGAATGGCATTAAAAAAAACAAAAATAAAAACGGGCTCCTTCCACAGAGGAGGAAGGGACTTTCATGCCTTTCTTGGGGAAATTTAAATTACTCTTCTGAGTCATCTCAGGTGTTCTTTATGTACCATGTCTGCGTCATTAGACTGGAGAGTGATTTTTTTCTCTGTGGAGCCAATTGATTCTTCCCCCCCGCCCGCCCCGACCCTTCCATTTCAGGGCCAGGTGGGGCCATCTGGTTTGAGTGTCTAAGCTTGAGTGCTGGGTAAGACAACGAGTGTTTGATGCTTGTGCCCTTTACCCTACTAGGCTCTTTGTCATAGACATTGCTGATAGATTTGTACTGGTTTGTTCTAGAAACACCGGCAGCCTTAGATACTACTAGATAGTATCTGAACTACTACTCTCTTTGTTATCTCTTAGCTCTGTAATACTAAGCAAAGTTCATTCTGTCTTACAAATCTGAAGCTTGCCAGGCTGGTACTCTGACTTTCAGGTGAGAAGATCAAAGAATAGAGAGGTTAAATGTCTGGGTCAAAGTTGCTCAGTAAGCTAATGGCATCCAATTCAGAATGAAATTGTTGCCAGCAGGTGTGTAAGGAAGAACGTAAGCATATAAGATGTGTTATGATGCCCATCCACAAGCATTTAACAGTCTGCTTAGAAAAAGAAGACAAATAACTTATAATTCCTAGACTGATGATCTAGACTGCACACGCTTACCTTAAGCTGGCTGTTGGTGGGTTGGGGTGATCAGGGAATGCGACACAGATGTTTATACTTGGGGCTGAAAGGTGAGTTGGATTTAGGCCACAAGGAGGGCATTTCAGACAAGAAAAATAGCTTCAGGATCACATGATCTTATACAAATAACTGCTATGAGACTTCGCTCCTCACCTCTAAATTCAGTTGTTGCAAAAGTTAAATTTATTAAATATATCTGTCACATAGGAATGCGTGGGCTGTTAGGAGTAGGAGAGCTGACTGCTGTGGCTCAAGCAAATAGGGATTTATTTTTCTTCCCTAACCAGAGGCCCTGAGGTGGGCATTGCTTGGTGGTTCAGCAATGTCAGAGCCAGTTTTTCTGCGATTCTCTTGCTTCGTGGTCTAAAGGTGGCTGCCATAGCCTCAGCCATCAATTCCTCATTCAAAGTAAGAAAGAAGAGGAATAGCAGAGACAGCTGCACTTACTCATCAATCAACACAACAAGTTTTTGAGCACAGTTTGCTAGACACTGTTCTCATTGGGCTATTGGGACATGCTGAACAAGACTGACAAAGGGCTTCCCTTTTGGGTACATCTTGGTGGAGGAAACAGACAATAAACAAGTAGAGTCAAGAGGCTCTAAGTGGGATGAAGAAAAATTAAAGTTGATAAGGAGATAGTAAAGGTTGGGGCACAGTGGAGGTTTGCAATTTTTATTAAGAAGATTGTCAAGGGATGCCTCTCTTCCTTTTTACCAAGAAAATAAAAGCTTTCCCAGAATACCCCTCCCCCCGCTTTGCACATTGGTCTCATGAGCCCAGACTAAGTCACAAAGCCGCCCCCAATGCGGGAAGTGGGGATCCAGATTGTCAGGATTGGCTTAGACCATTGGTTTTCCAACTTGAGTAAGCAGTAGAATCCTCTAGAGGATTTGTTAAACCACAGATTGCTGGGCCCCACCTCCAGAATTTCTGATTCAGTAGGTCTGGGGTGGGGCCTGAGAATTTGCATTTCTAACAAGTTCCCAGCAGCTGATGATGCTGCTGTTCTGGGCCTGTACTTTGAGAATCACTGACTTAGAGCAATCATGATTCATTGTCTGTGTCAGGCCCATGAGCCACTGAATAAAATCTAGGTTTTGGTACCGAGGAAGTATGGATACTGGTAACAGTGTCTAGGTACTATGCAAGGCAATTAGCCCAATGCCTGGCTCATAAGTTCATAAGTATCCAGTATTATTATTTCAGGTATTATTATCATTATAATTTTAGAAGAATGTAAAGCTACCATTGGGTTGGATCATGAAGGGTCTTAAATGTCCGGCAGGTGAATCCTTGGTGTACTCTGGACACTAAGGAACATTTTGGAACAGGAGAGTGAAATGATCAAACTGGAATTTTGGAAGCATTGGGCTGCGTCCTGCAGAGGAAACGGCGGCAGCGGGGGCGCCAGCTGAGAGGCGATAGCCATGGCCCCAAGTGAAAACATTACAAGGGTGCGGAGGTCAGCCTGTCTCTGGCCTTGCTCTCCAGGAAATAATTCTTCGGCCTATTGGGATCTTAAGGACTGAGTCTCAAGGCTTACTGTGCCCTTCATCATGGCTAATTGCTCAGAAGTGAGGGCCAGGAGGCCAGAGGACAAGACAGACTGGAGAGGAAGTCATGTGTTCTTTGGAAACCCCGAACAAAGAGAGTATACTTGTGTTTCAGGGTCCGCTGCTGGTAGTGCCTGGCCCTCAGGGCGTTCAGCATCCCCATCAGTAAAACAGTGAGAATAGCATCTCGTCGCCTGCCCTGCATCGAGCATACACGGCAGGGGAAGAAAATGCAAAACCATACGCACGCAAAGCCTTTGAACAAATAAATGCACCACGGAGATGAAATCACGTTCCCATCTTGCCCACGCTTCTAAGGGCGTGTTGGATTGTATTTTTGTTACGTTTGTCAGAGGCAGCACTCTGGGCTAAGCGGACCACGCAGCTGTGACCACATGGCCTAAGCTGACACCGTGTTATACTGAGAAGCAGGCTTGCCCCTTCTCCCCTCGTCTCTCAGTCAGTTTTAGTTGTGTGCCTTGGAGCAGGGTACTCAGCCTTTCTGAGACGCTGTATCTGTAAAGTGTGACTAATCAATCTTTACCAGCCTGAAGGCTCCATCCTGAACCTTTTGAGGCCCTGTTTAGCTCTGAGCTCTATCGTTTCGTGGTTCTGTTATTTCTAGTGCCTCAGACCTGTGGCAGTTCACAGGGCAGACAATGATTTACAGTGTAAAACACGCCCTGATATCAGTAGGTTTCATGCTTACCTAAAACCCACACCGATGTCTGTTCTGCATCTGATTTTATTGTACAGTGTTCACTAAACAGAAAAATAAGCCAGTCCCCAAATAGCTATCATTTCAGAGGCTTCCCCATAATACCCAAAGCTGCTGACTGCCCAGGATTCCATTAGCCTCCAATTGTGTACAGATTTTTCTTATTGGTCCAAACATTTTACCATGGGGAACCAGCTCACATGATCCATTTGCCCGTCAGCTGGTACACCGCGATCTGTTGAGAGAAGCCCCACTGAATGCAAAAGGCTCCTGGCCAAGGATCACCCCTCCCCTCCCCTGCCCACAGTTCACAGAGCTGGGTTAGCCCTGGAGCTTGACTGCAGAAAGCCTGACCTCTGGGATCACCTCGTCATTTTGGCACTTCTTCAGTTGTGTATCCCTCCTTATGTGAACCAGCATGTGTGAAAGGCAGTGGGCAGTCTGAAACCCAACACAGTGGAAGTGGACACAGTGTGGTGTCCGGGCTTCCCGCTCAGGCCAGCCAGTGCGCAGCCGTCCTGCCGCTTATGGCCTGGGAGCCTTTGCCCGCCAAGCTGCCTCTCCTCTCCACTTCTCACCCTGGAAATGAGAAGTTGGGACGCATGGTGGTGTCCCTCTGCACTGCCCCCCACCCCGTCCCCAGCAGCTGTTGGCTGACTGATGCCGCCTGCCTGTTGCTGTAGGATTTGTATGGTGCAGGAAGGGAAAGTGTGTCGTTGACATGAGGACAGAGACGGAGCTGAGAGCCCAGCTTTGTACCCCATCCTGGCCCATCAGGGCCCAGCTGCACCTCTCTTCTTCCCCGTTCCTAACTTGGGAGCCTGTCGCAAGCCTTCTGCCCCTTTCAAGCTCCTGGGCCCTGAGACTTGGTTACAGGCTCCAAACGAAGTTTCCGCCAACCTTGAGCTGTTGCGTATCCTCTGCTGACACAAGCTCCTGCGTGCACTTCATCCGCACACCTGTCCTAGGCCAGGATCAGGGGCACGGTGGCCTCACACACTGGGCTTTCTTGTTAGCATCTGGTACACAGGTCCCCGGGGGGTAATCTTAACACTGGGTGCACTGAGGGAGGCAGTATTAACTCACTCTGTGTTCCAGCAGCTGCTTCTGGGGCTCTTGTGTTTAGTGACAGGTTGAAAGAGTTGGACAATTGAGAGAGAGATTTTTCAGCGCATGTTTCATGAGTTGATTTTTCCCTTGGTGCTTCCCCCAAGCTGTTCTTCCCTTTCTTTTAGTGCTGCTGTCATCACTTTCCTGCAGGGCCTCATTTCATTTCCCCAGCCCCTTTTTTCTGCAGACTTATGCTCTGGCTTGAGAACAAGAGCACAGAACTGTCTAGTTATCTGCTGATCAAGCAGCTTGAGGAACTAGTTGACTAGGCCTTTGACTAACTTTGTGGACAAGAACAAGCTGGTTCTTCCAAACCTTGGTGTTCTGTGTTTGTGGTTTTGAACCGGTCATAGAGGGACTTGGGTCACAGGGGCTTATCCATGGCCACACACTGTCAGCTCCCTTCCCGAGCCTGCCCCGTAACACAATTATGCCCAAGTCAGCATGGGTCTGAAGTGTTAGCCTTATAGCCACCTGACTGCTTCCTTTCTCAGTTTAGGCATTTGTTGTTTTCCTTTGGAAAATGTTGAATTGTGATGCGGAATACTTGAGGAGCTGACAAATGCATTGCTCGGATTTTAGATGTGAGGCAACCGGGTATATCTTAGGCTCTCGTAGTAGACTGGAATTCCGACTCGTTACCAGTGTATGCCAGATAGAAAAGGGACATGCTGCACATGAAAGAGCATAGCCTCTTGATTATCATACTTTAAAGTACATGAGATTCATTATAAGCCTAATTCAAATTCAGTGAATGCCGTCAACAGATTGTATGATGGGTCATTTTCACTGTGGGGTGTACAAGAATCACCAAGAAAGTTGACAGGCAAAGCATATTAGAAAATAATCGTATAAATTTGATTAAAGATGCTCACAAAGTCACCTGATTAAAAAATAGTGTTTTCTATACATTCAGTGACCTGGGAAGTCTTAGGCCATCCCCCAAGAAAACATAATAAAGATGAACAGCTAAAAAAGAAAGAGAGAGAGAGAGAGAGAAAGGATTTTGATGCTTTTTGGTAAAAAGACCATCTAAGTATTTGAATTAAACCTGTCCGTGAAAAGGGCATTTTTAACCAAAAGCAAGCCAATGCTGTTAGCAAGTACGTGGATCCATTATTCACATGATCTCAGGAGTGAAGGCAGGCCTCTTGTCCGCTCTTCCATAAAGGCCCCATACAGACCCTGGACAGCCACCGTGGAGTGCCATTGCCCAATGAAATAAGTGCACGTCTCTTCCCTTGTAGGATCAAGATGGAGAGGGAGCCTGGAAATCCTTAGTCTGTTAACACATACCCAATATCCTCTGAGCCACTCATCTTCTGTTGCTAAGCCCTAGCTCTATAAGCAACTATTGGAAGCACTTAGAGACAAATTTGCCAGAAGGTTTGAAGATCACTGGCTACAATTAAACAATTTGCCTACACAATTAGATTGCCAGGTGTTTGATCAGAGAATCTGGAAAAGAGGAGGCTTTCTCTCTCCCTAGTTACAAAGACTTCATTGCTTCAAACTCTAGATCAGCCCTGTCAGATTTACCATGCATGCCCCAAGTATAATTTTAAATTTCTAGTAACTAAATTGAGAAATAAGTGAAATTAATTTAGTAATATATTTTTTTCCAACCATATGTAGGCATTAGCTCGCAAACCCTATTGGTGTTACCCTTGCTTCGGAGAGTCTGAAAAAGGGTGGAGCCTCCCCAGAAAGTGGTAGCTATTCACACACACAGGAAAATGTGCACCAATCTTCAAGGGCCTCATGGATTGCCCCTTAAGCCTATCCTTGGACCACTAAAGAGTCCAAGAACCCCAGAGTAAGAGCCTGTGTTCTAAGGAATCTTTATGCACTCTTTATCTTCCCCCATCCCAAAAGGTGGAGAAAACACGATAAACAGAGGTATCGGGAAAAGGACCTGTTCCGGTATGCTCTCCAATCCTGAAGTTTGCAGTTTCAGAAGCAAAGTCATCTCTGGCTTAACAGAGGCCAGAGCAAGACCCATGTGTGAAATATATATCACAGCGTGTCTCAATAAACATGTGCGTGTTTTAGAAACTGATACATTTATTTATAGGAAAAACATGGCTAGCTTATTATGGTACAAGCTTAAAGGAAAAAATTTATTGAAAATAATACATATGTTAGGGTGCCTGGGTGGCTCAGTTGGTTAAGCGACTGCCTTCGGCTCAGGTCATGATCCTGGAGTCCCGGGATCGAGTCCCGCATCGGGCTCCCTGCTCAGCAGGGAGTCTGCTTCTCCCTCTCCTGCTCCCCCCTCTTGTGCTCTTTCTCTCTCTCACTCTCTCTCTCAAATAAATAAATAAAATCTTAAAAAAAATAATAATAATACATATGTTAAAGAATGAGGCACTCAGTACTAACCCATTCAGGTACCCGCCCTTACGTTTGCTCTTTATTTTCCCTAGCTTCTAGATAACTTATCATGATCCAGATAAAATCTTCTTCAGATTTCACATTTGTCTTCAAAGGGTTGCATGTGTCAGAAGACTGATTTTGAATCTCTGACTCCAGTGTCTTTGACTCTTCAGAGCATTTTTCCCTCTTCTGTTAAATTCCGAAGTTCCGTTGTTGCTCGGATGTGTATTGGCCTTCATGCCACCACGCTGAGTTTCCTTTTATATCCTCTGTACATCTTGATGAGCAATACTATGATAGATTGCTTTGTGGTAAAAATACGGGTGCTGGCATCAGACCTGGGGTTCCTGGCTTGGCTCGGCGACTTTTGGTGCTATCATCCTGGGCCACTTGTCCTCTCTACCTTCTGTTTTCTCATCTGTAAAAATGGAGACCATATCTTCAGGATTAACAGGATCACAAGCTCTATTAGATTGCGAGGGCAGCCATAGTAAGGTGCCACTGACTGGGGGACTTCAACAGCAGAAATGTATTCTCTTGCAGTTCGGAGGGCTCGACATCTCATAGCAAGGTGCTGGCAGGTTGGTTTCCTCCAAGGCCTCTCTCCGTGGCTTGTAGATGGCTGCCTTCTTTCTGTGTGTGCCTGTGTCCTAATCTCCTCTTCTTATAAGGTCACCGGTCATATGGGATTGGGGCCTACCCTAATCACCTCACTTTAACTTAATTACCTCATTAAAGACCCTTTCTCCAAATACAGTCACATTATGTGGCACTGGGGCTTAGGCCTTTAACATATGAATTTGGGGGAGGACACAGTTGAGCCATAATACAACTGTATAGGGACGCCTGGGTGGCTCAGTCGGTTAAGCGTCTGCCTTCGGCTCAGGTCATGATCCCGGGGTCCTGGGATCGAGCCCCGCATCGGGCTCCCTGCTTCTCCTTCTCCCTCTGCTACTCCCCCTGCTTGTGCCCTCTCTCTCTGTCAAATAAATTAATAAAATCTTTAAAAATACAAAAATACAAAAAAAAGGGGGGGGGCGCCTGGGTGGCTCAGTCATTAAGGTCTGCCTTCGGCTCAGGTCATGGTTCCAGGGTCCTGGGATCGAGCCCCACATCGGGCTCCCTGCTCGGCGGGAAGCCTGCTTCTCCCTCTCCCACTCCCCCTGCTTGTGTTCTCTCTCTCTCTGTGTCTCTCTCTGTCAAATAAATAAAATCTTTGAAAAAAATAAAAATAAAAAAATGCAACTGTATAGTGCCTGACCGACCCTATGTACAGTGAGCCTTATTATCATCTGCCTCACCATCATTTAAACTTACAAACCTTTAATGGAACCCCGCATGTCTCTGTACACTCTGAGATACACTAGAACCATTTAAACAGGCAACCCAGCATTATGACTGGCTTACCCTGTCCTCTGTTATCAGGCATGAGGCCATTTCTTCCCTCTGCTCCAAGTTCAGGATGTTATAAATACTGAAAATGACTCCTCCTTGTGTCTCCGTGATACCCCCCTCCTCTCCCCCCCACCCCCTCCAGTATTCTCACACAGTGCCAGGGTTCTTTTATCTCTATGTGGAAATGTGCTCACCTACTGATTCTAAACTCAGTCATTGCCTTTATCTTCAAATTACTGGTCCCAGCTGGCTTCTCTCCTCCGGCTTGTTTTCTGAGTGTCTCTGGCAGCCGCCACTGTGCCTCGATTTGAAAACTGCCCTTGTCCTCTGAGCGAGTATCACCCAAGGCCTCAGGTGAGTCCATATGGCCTCCTCCTCCTGCCCTGAGCCCTGGAGCCAGGGAGGCTCAGAGGGCCTGCAGGGAGAGCTGGTCCTGCGTCACTGCCTCTGAGGGGCAGTGGTCAGGCCTCCGGTGGCATCCCAGGTACTGTGGCCCATGCAGTTCACGCCAGGCTCTTCCTAGTTCCCGGTCTGAGTGTCCCTGGAGAAGCGGCCCGAGGAGTTTGTGTCCCCGGGCAACCGAGCAGCCTCCTGAGCGCTCCTTTGTGCACTTGTTTTTCTCTTTCAGCCGCAGCACTGTAGCTCCGTGAGCGAAGCCTGGGAGCCCGAGCAGCCGCCGCGGCAGCGGAGTGCGACCTGCAGCAAAGCTGATCACCAACGGAGACGGAGCGAACATGTGTGCGTGTGTGTACGCGTGTGCGGGGGAAGGTGTGCCTGTTTGCGTGTGCATGCATCTGTTTACACTCTTGTGCTTCTGAACACTGCTGGGGCTGGAGGGGTACATGTAGCAGCTTCACCTCAGCCTCCAGACACCAGGCTGGAGGTCATGGCGGTGACTTTCAGCCAGACCTGCCCCTGGGAGCCAGCTGCCTTGTCTGGATAGAAGAGTAGCGGGACCCTAGCTGGGATTCTGGCATCTGCCCCACCCCACCCCATCCCTCTCTCATCACAGCAGACTGAGGAGCAGGAGGGCAACATTGCCGGCTTCTGTCCAGAGCATAGGATTCTAGAAGCAGCCAGGGCCCTGCAGTGTTCCTGCTTTATGACGCAGAAGGCTGGGCAGGCTGGAGGGGACAGATGCTGTCCAGATACAATCACCTGGTCTGGCTTCTTCCTTATTTTAAAATGTCCTGCCACTGGGTCCTCCAGAGCCCTCTCAAGCACCTGGGACTGAGCGTGAGGCTGTAAACAGATCTGAAAACTTGCCACCGTGGTCAGGAGGCACACCCAGATACCTGACTAGTGCTCCATATGCACCGTACTGAAGACGCTAGCCTGAAAAGTGCGTCCGCCTTTCTGGGGCTGAAAACCTCAGGTTAGGAATCGAATCCCAGCTTTTGCTGTTTCTTCCTCAGAAGCTGAGCGCCAGCCTCAGCGCTGACTGTGGAGACTCCGTGCCTCCACCAGGAAGAAGCCAGGTTCCTGGTGGCAGAAAGCCCCCTGGCCCCCCTGGCCACACCACAGCGCTGCCACGGAGGTCAGCTGACACCCAGCCGGGAAAGCCATTCTGTCCCGTGGTCTGTAGGCTTCTGGGGCCTGCCTGGGACTGAGCAGCAGCCAAGCTGCCATGTCAGCTCTCCCAGTAGCTGGACACCAAGGACCCCGGCCGGAGCATGCGGGTGGGAACTGCCAGGGACAGTTGGGAAATGTCCGAGTTGAGATCTCACCCAGCACACCAACCCTTCCAGAGGCAGCAGGTGGGAGGTTTGACCCAGAGAAGCCAAGGCCTTGCATTCCCGGAGTGGCCTGGCCTCCCACCTCAACCCTCCCACTGTTGAAGGCCTGTGTTGAGAAAGACATAATGAAAAGGACTGTGTGGTCAGCTAGAGCAAGTCTTCCTTCCACCCTGTGGCCTGCACTTGATCCACAAAGTGTGTGTGTGTGTACGTACAAGTGCGTGTGTAACTGAGAGGCTCATTCCTCTTTGGATTTTTGTCCTCATGTGTAACATTAAGCTGGCCTCTGGGCCTTTTCCTCTCTACCTCCCCTGTGACCTTTCCTAGCCTCATAGCTGTTAACTCCCTTGGCCCTTGCCCTGTCCCTCATTGTCCTCCTCTGTCCTTGGACCAGAACCTTGGGGTCAGGCCTCTGTTCCCTCAGCTGTCCAGCACCTTGACAGGCTTCTTCCTGAGATGTCCTCAGGTTTTCTCAGCCAGAAAGCTGCCTTTAGAGTCCAACTGTTGTATGTATGTCACCCCCACTAGAAATGTCCTGTAATCATGTGGGGGAAGCAGGGCACGGGTGATGGTGTCTATTCAGAGCATTGAGTTGGGGGCTTCTCTGTTCCCGTAGCCCCAACCAGGAAGAAAGAGGATTGGGGGCTGTTGCCAGAAGAGGAGAAGAGCGAGTCTGGAAGGGCTATTTTGAGAAACTGAGAATGCCAGAGGGCTTGGGCCAGAGTCAAGATTTGTTTAGCAGCACCTGCAAATACCAGGATGTTTCCCTTTTCCTGCCTATTAGATGATGGCCCTTTTCCCTGAAGTACAAGTCGGCGGGACCACCTCCCCCTCCTTCATCCCTGGCAAGCTGGCCCATTCCCAGTGGAATAGAGCGGTCCACTCCCGGAGCTGGGAGGGTCGGGGTAAGGGGAGGGTGCATCCAGTGGCCCAGAGCTCCATGATGGCTTCATGCCTCCCCTCTTCTGGCCCAGGTGTCCCTGGGGCTGCCACAGAACATTGACCCAAATCCTAATCCAAGGGCCAGCATGGGGAAGAGATGGTCGCAGGCAAAATGCACTTTATACAGAGATTTTCTTATTACTGGGAAGGTGTGTTTCTCCCACAGTTTGTGAATATTCAGTTGTTTCATAAATGTCTGATCCTGTCTGAGCAAAGCTGTGTTGTCGTCAATCTTGTGGGAGGTCTGGGAAGGAGTCAGTAAGGCTGAGCCTGAATGAAGCCTTATGCCAGACCATCTTGGTTCTGCTGGAGCCAGAAGCTTCTCACCCCTCCTCAGACTCGGCAGGGAGGAGAGGGATGGATAGAGATGTAGGAAGCGGGAGGCCCCTAGGTGAGCAGGCAGGACAGACGAGTGGCAGCTCCAGAGCTTGGCCAGAGGTGGGGGGGTCAGTCAGTCAGAATGGTACAGAGCACTGCAGGCCCAGGATGAAGTTCCTGAGTGCTATCCTGCAGTGACTCAGCCTCTCGGGCCACCTAAAGCCCCAGGGCCGACCTCAGTCAGCGGCAGGGTTCTCTCCAGGCCCTCAAGCCATCCTTCATCTCAACTCGGCCACTCGAGCACTGTGTGGTGTGGAGGGGATGCAAGCGGCAAACACTGACTCTAGCTAGGTGCCTGGAGATCTGCCCACGGCCAAGCCCAGGGCCTGGATGCTGGATGGATGGAGGAGTCTCATGGCATCTGGCCAGAGAGTGGCCTCTCTCTGCAGTGTATGTGGGCTTTTCTACGATGGTTTCTAGCCTTGGATCCCTGGAAGAGTTTTGTTAGCTCACACCACACCCCAACTTCATGTGGGCAGGGGCTCAGACAGGGCCCAAGAATACACAAACTGCCCTGCACAGAGTGAGAAGGGGGGAAAAGGGAGGAACTGGGCCCTGGGATTCATCTCATTCTTAGCTCTGCTTTGAAGCTCCTTCCCACCAAGACCTGGACCTGTCCTTCCCTCTCGCTTCTCCTGGCTTCTCTCTAATGTGGCTTTGGCTTGGCCTCAGGAGCTACAATAGCCTTGTTCTTGAGCAGAAGATTCTGGAAAATGGAGTTGTCTTACACACACACTCCTGACCTGAGGATGCTCCTAGTTGAGGCGAGCACACATTCTTAAGCAACAATTATTAGCCACAGTGGCAAGACTGCTTTCCTGCGAGCAAAAGCCAGGCATCTGAGCAGAAGGTGGTTACTGTTTGGTCCTAGTGAAAGGAGGCTGAGGGCACCGGGGTGGCTCAGTTGGTTAGGTGACTGCCTTCGGCTCAGGTCATGATCCTGGAGTCCTGGGATCAAGTCCCACGGCGGGCTCCCTGCTCAGCAGGAGGTCTGCTGCTCCCTCTGATTCTCCCCCCTCTCATGCTCTCTCTCGTTCTCTCTCTCTCACATAAATAAATAAAATCTTTAAAAAAAAAAGGGGGGGGGCTGAGCCAGGATAGCAGGAAAGGTAAAGTGGCCACTCCTCTGGGCCCACAGGCAGGGAGAAGAGCCTTTGGCACTAGGTAATAGGATGTTCTCTGGGTTGGAGGTGGGGAGCTGTTTCCTGCAGGGCAGGTGCCTGCAGCTCTTTTCTGGGTGCTACATTGAAGGAAAAGGGGGTGACATTAGTAAGCAGTCCAGATTTGCAAATAAGATCCCACAAGCTGTGAAACAGTTTGTTCTGCCCCTTCTTCAGAGAGAGGTAAGGACAGGGCCTCTGCAGTTCTCGGGAGGCCAGAGAGACCAGTGAGGTTTGGTCAGAGGCTCTTGACCCACCAAAGCTGGGGCCCTAGCCCTGGCCAGCAATTTGAGTGTCCAGCAGTCTATGCTCTGTAGAAGAACTCACGGGCTTAGCCCTCTTAGGGGATAGACCAGAAGGGACCCATGGCCGAAAATGGCAGAGGTTAGACATGCTGGAGGGAACAAAAACCACAAGAAGAATCCGAAGACGTCAACTATGGCAGCAGGAAGAAAGGCTGGCTCCCAGTCTTAGAATGTGAGAAGCCAGCCATGGGGTGTCTGTGGGTGCAAAAGAGAGGTGCTCTGCGACAAGCAATTGAGGTGCTAAGTGAAAAGAGAGAAATCTGGGAAGGTCCTGGTGTGAGGGAGGAGAAACTGAGAGAAGCCAAGAGGAAGGGTTCAGTTCACCATTAATAGCTGAAGGGGCTGAAGGGGCGCTTGGGTCAATCTTTAGCGAGAAGACCCGCTAGGGAAAGACCATGAGAGGGTCTCCTCAAGATAAGGGGACAGGATTGGGTGAGACCTGGATCCTAGCAGGAGGCGGGGTGTTCCCTGCCTCCGGTGACAACATGCTTGTATCACTTTTCATCCTCACCACAACCATGAGAGGGACCATTATCGTCCCCATTTCACAGATGAGAAAACCAAACTTAAGTCTGTGAAGTCACTAATGCAAGGCCACACCACCTATTCACTTGGAAAGCCAGGCTTCACACCACCTGACTCCAAACCTGGCTTGCTCTAGGAGCCCACACCCGACACCATCTCGCCTTTCTCTGCCTTCCTCCAATGGCCCTCCTTTCCTGTCCGCCTTCTTTGTCTGCTGCTGGGGACCAACTCCGGCCCTGGAAACCAGGGTCGCGCCATTAGTTCCCTTATTCCCCGGGCGCTAGGCCCACCCGAGGGGCAGAACCCGCACGACACGAGGGCCTTGCCGGATGGGGAAGAGGGCAGAGGAGTCAGTGTGGGACTCAGAGCCGGGCTGGGCCGAGCCCAGGGGCCGCTGGGGCCGCCACTTCAGCACCTCGGAGAGCGCCTGCGGGGCGGGGCTCGCGGGGCCGGGGGCGGAGCGGGGGCGGAGCGCACCAGACCCCGGCGAGGGCCCGGGGGCGCGCGGCCGAGCTCGCGCCAGTCCCGAGAGCGGCGCGCGGTCCGGAGCCGCGCCCTGCCCTGCGCAGGTGCGCCCGCCGCGCCCGCCCCAGCCGGAGCCCCGCGGCGGCGGCGGCCTCTCGCCGCGCCCCCGCCGCCTTCCCGTCCGCCGCCGCCGCCGCCGCCGCCGCCTCTGCGCCGCGCTCCGCCCGGATGGCCAGGGCTGTGCCGGAGAATGGCGGAGCGAGAGAGCGGCGGCCTGCGCGGGGGGGCCGCGTCCCCGCCAGCCGCCTCCCCGTTCCTGGGGCTGCACATCGCGTCGCCGCCCAATTTCAGGTGAGAGTCCCCGGCCGCCGCGCCCCGCCCTTCAGCCCGGGCTGATCTGCTCCGGCTTCCGCGCCGCCCCCCACCCCGGCCCCCAGTCCCCAGCCCCCAACACACACACACACACACACACACACACACACACACCCCGATCCCGAGAGCGAGAGGGCGGCGTGGGGATGGGGTCTCCTCCCTGGACAGAGTCCCCAGAAACCCCCCTCAGCCTCAAGTCCAGGCTGATAGCCGCTGCATAGCCAGTGGTGCAGCTCTTTTCCGCCATTCCATGTCCTAGGCTAGGAGATTCCGAGCTGGAATTGGAGGAGGGGGCGCCGAGGCCTCCTTCTCCCCCACTTTGGGACTGCGGCAGGGCCTGGGGTCTGGATTGAGATCCCGGAGGAGGCAGACAGGCTAAGGCTTTGCTTATGCCCAGTCCGAAAGCTTCTGAATAGAGATGGGAGCAAGCTGGGGTGCCTCGTGGGTCCCAGTTTCTCGGGGCAACTGACAACCTTGGTGCTGGAAGGAGGAAGTCGTGGGCCCCTCCCCCAGCCCTGTCTGGTCAGAGGGGCCTAACTCCCAAGACTGGCATGGCCAGGACGCTCTGTAGATTTGAGCAAGCACTGACCTGGTCAGGTGTGTGCAGGTGCAGAAGGCTCAGTCTCAACCAGGAGACTCCACGCCCAGCTCTGGTTGGGGAAGTCTGGTTTGGACAGCCCAGGAGTAGCCAAGGACATTGGGTGGAAGGTTTTCCTGCTGGATCAAGTACCCAGGACCATGCTCTGAGCTCCTCTTCACCCCTCTCTCTGCCCACTATCTGGTATTGGGAGGTGGATTTTAGAGAAGTGGACAGTGGATGTTGTGGGGAAGGGATGGATATCCCTCCATTATAATCCTGGCCCCGTTTGGAGAGGAGGAAGACGAGGATGTAACTGCTCCAGAGCCTAAGAGGAGGCCTAGACTTACCCCATTGTTTCTCCATCTAATGAGCTGGCGCCTTCCCCTCTCCTGGGACCCTCACCCCAGCCAGGTCCCAGCTGGGCTCTGGCGCCAGCCCCTCTCTGACCAAGGGGTTGCTGGCTCCCTGGCCCTCAGGTGGGTAGGGACCCCTGGGGATCTCTAATGGCATCATCAGCGCTGGAAACCTCCCTTGAGGCCCTGAGCTGAGGAGCCGGGAAGACCAGAGGGAGGGGACCAGATGGAGGAGGCCAAGCGTGAGGGCTCTGGGGCTGGGGCCTTTGTGGTTGGTGCTCTGGGTCATGAGGCTGAGGTCTGAGACAGGTTCCCCCGGCATGACCCACAATGCCGAGAGGCAAATATTGTCTGCCTACCAGGAGGCCCCTCTGCAGTGGAACAGCTTAGAAGAACCTGGGTTCAGATTTGAGCTCCACCACTTTCTAGCTGAGTGACCCGCCAGTCCCATCTGTCAGGTGAGCTAATTAACATTGATTCCTTAGCGTGCATCAAGTCGGTGTTCAAGTGTCTGCCCTCCATGCTGGTGAGCATTTATCTAGCTCATTCCTGTTCAGAACATTCCCAGTGCAGGCGCGTTTACCCTCATGGGCGTGGGTATCAGTCTGCCCATTTTGTAGATGACAAGATTGAGGTTCAGTAAGACAGTGGCTTGCCTGAGGGCCCCAGAGGAAGTCAGAGCCTGGGACTGTCTGTGTGTGTTCAGGCCCCTCAGCCTCCAGGCCCTGTCTCGGGCCCAAAGGACAGCCTTGCCTCCCTCTACCTGCTTCCAGATCCCCAGTGACGGTGCAGGTTATCATGGATGCTTTAGTGAGGGGAACCGATGAAGTGGACACCAGCCAGGGAGAGTGTTCAGTCGGGGCCAGGTGGGCGAGAACAGCAGTGCGCCAAGGCTAAGGCGTGGGCCAGCCCTCCAGGACACCGTGGCCTGGCTGTGGGGACAAGGCCAGCTTCTGGGAATAGTAAGGGCAGTGTCTCCAGCCCCACATGGCCCGCCCTGCCTGCTCCAGCAGCCCCCGCTGACCTTTCCCTTGTCCTGCCCCGCACAGCCCTTCACCCAGCTCGGGTTAACCCTGGGCGGTTACTGCTCTCTCACGGCTCTTTGGTGGGGTCATGGATCCCACTGGCCCGGGTTTGCAGTCTGGCTCAGCCTTCCTGGCCGTGTGCCCCAAGACTGGGCACTTAACCCCCTGAGCCCCTGTTTCTTCTCTACGATGCCAGGGTTGGCTCCCGCTCAGGACGGTCCTGGGACCCGGATGGGACAGCACGTGTTGGCTGTCTCGAGGGCTGTGGAGAGCTGCGTTCGTGCAGGGCTGTGGTTGTTACTACGCGTGCGCCCCCCGCACCTCTGTCCACTTCCAGAAAGCAGAGGACACAATACCTAAATTTTGGTTTGCGCAGTGCCCGGCACAGAGTCGGTGCTCAAGAATGCCTTACTGGTTGATTATGCCAGGATTAGGTGTGCGAGGGCCTCCTGGAGCTCAGAGAGTAACAACAGACTGTGCTGTCAGAGGATAAGGAGGGGACGCGCCGGTCCCTGGGAGGCGCTCACTTTGCCCAGCGCCCCTCCAAGGGCTTTCTGCGCAAGAGCGTTTCATCCTCACCAGAGCTATATAAACAGAGTGTTACTATTATCCCCACTTTGCAGCTGAGGAAACTGAGGCCTCCAGAGGCTAGGTAAGTGGCAGAGCTGGGGTTTGGATGCAGGTAGTCTGATTTCGGGGCCACCCTGAAAAGAGAGCCCGGGACTAGTAGGGGGAGAGTGTGTGCAGGGAGTAAGCACACTGTGGGCGAGGAGGCTGGAGAGAGAGCATCCGTTTGTTGCTAGTTGGTTTAAATAGATAGGTGTTCTTCTTCTTCTTTTTTTTTTTCCCTTCTGATGATAGAAACACTCCAGTCAGTTACCTATAGTTGTAGATGTGGTACTGGGGGAGGGATTTCACTTATTTGACACACTGCTGTTATGATTTGACTTATTTCTACAAGGAGCATAGGTTACTTGTGTAACTTACAAAAATAGAAGAGAGAATTTAAAATTCAAGTGATACATGTTCATTAGAAGGAAAACTCTAGAAAAGAGACTAGAAACATAGCCTTTGGCTACACTGAGCTGGGGGCGGGGTGGGATAAAGGGGAGGGATGGTGGGACGGGCCATATGGGAGGGACGAAGGATGCTCAGGGAAAGTATGGGGGGCCGTCTGCTCTGGACGTGGGGGAGGAGAGCTGTGGATGAGGGGACCCCAGAAATCGGCTCATCCCGACCGCCCCCTCCCCTTTACTGAGGAGGAGGCAGGAGAGGGTGAGTGGCTTCCCCAAGAACACACAGCGCATGAGTGGCAGACCCCAGGCCTCGTGACTGCCCGAATGGTGTGGTTTCGACCTCCCCAAGCTGCCTTGCAGATGAGAGATGTGGCCACCGAGAGGCGCAGAGACCTCCTCGTTTGTCCCTTCACGGGATCGTATACACGTGGCCATTGCTTCACTTCCCTCCACAAATACTTGCACTTCGGCGGGCTCCCTGGACAGATGCTCCAGAGGCACAGCCGGGGGCCTGACTGTCATGCAGGTGTAGAGGGGAGTCAGACAGACGAGGCCTTACCAGACAGGCTGGCCAGTGTGACAGTGACTGAGGCCAGAGGCCCAGGGGAGCCCAGGCCTGCGGGTCAGTGGGCAGTGGCAGAGATTTAGCAGGAATGGCAGCATTGGATCGCTGTCTTGGGAAGGTCACACCGGCCGCTAGGTAGAGAATGGCCAGGCCGGCAGGGAGACCACCGGGAGGATGGCCATCCTGCGTGTGACAAGAAGGGGCAGGAGAGGACGTGAGGACGATTTCAGGGGTGGGAGGGTTAGCCCACTGGGTGAGGTATCTGGTTGAAGGGGTTGGGGAGGCAGGAGTCCAGGATGATGCTGGGCCCCTTGGAGATGGGTTGCCCTGTGGGAGATGAGAGGCTTGGCAGGCAGGGAGGCGAACTTAGTAGACTTCCTGAGTTTGAGGTTGGTGGCCACTGGGGACCCAACTGGAGCATTCAGGCAGGGAGTTGGGGGCCTGGGGTCACTGGAGAGGATGGGGCTGGGGCCAGAGACCCTGGGAGTCTCAGCTTAGGGAGGTGGCCCCGAAAGCCTCAGAGAGGACATTACTACCCAGGGGGCAGCAGAGAGCAGGGAGCTGGTGTAGGACGTCGCCACCAGGCTGGTTCCAGCAGCCATGTTTCGGCTGGGGGAGGGGTTCTGGAACCGCTGTTGCTGCTGGAGTCACCCTCCCCCCAACTCCGAGCCCTGAGGAATCCGGGGTAGAATGTGCTCCTAGCGAACCCCCAAAGTGGGGCCAGAGTGTTGACTTGCCTCACTTGCCCAGACATGACCACGCAGGGTCCCTGCCCCCCGCCTCTTTGTTGTCAGAGCCTTGAAGTCGGTCTCTGGATTCTTGGCTTGGGGTGCCCCCCCCCGGATCCTACAAAATGGGGTCACTGCCACCATCCCCACTTCGGGGTTCTTACCCATTCTAGGATGTTGTCTCTGTCCCCTGGCCCTCCTCTTGTATTCATTCCCAGAGTCTTCTCCCAGCCCTGACCATAGGCCTTGCCTCGTCCGGGCACCCAGAGCATCCAGCACCATCCTTCTTCCTCTGCCCCGCGTCCCCTTCCTCCTGGCGGTGTCCCAGGGCCCGGGCTCTGTGCGCACATTGGAACAAGGGTAGGGAGTCGGTGCCAAGCGGAACACGAGGGCCCCCTGCCCTCAGGAAAGTGCTCCACGACAGGGCCAGCAGCCCCAGACCCCAAGTGGGAGCCTGGGGCCAGGCTGGCATGACCCAGTCCAGAAAGCTTCTCGGGGGGAGCAGAGGAGAACAGATCTCCCCAGGTTCCACCAGGTCTCACAGGCGTGTCCATGTTCGTGCTTCTTGCTGTGTGATTCCTCACATGAAACCATGGGGTCCTCCGTTCCCTTTGCTCGTTATGCCAGCTGCCGTTTTCCACATTCATACCCAGGCTTTATGACGCTCGTCCGAGAGACTGGGTGATATTCCAACCCCCAACAGCTCCTGTGC